GCAGGCTGCTATGTAGGTGGGTTCACTGCAATTTCTGGGTGGAGCGACTGAAACAAGCTCTGGTTGATTCTACTGCAACACACACGTTGAAACTACCACCAAACGACAAACTCGACAGTCAGCTGAGTAGTTGGGCGCCCTCCAAGCGCTGGTTGAAGCTACTGCCAAACGTCGAACTCCGCAGGCTGCTGTGTAGCTGGGTGCACTTCAATCTCTGGGTGGAGCAACTGCAACAAGCTCAGGTAGATACTACTGCAAACACACGTCGGACCTACCACCAAACAACAAACTCGACAGTCAGCAGAGTAGTTGGGTGCCCTCCAAGCTGGATGAAGCTACGGCCAAACGTCAAACTCCGCAGGCTGCTGTGTAGCTGGGTGCACTTCAAACTCTGGGTGGAGCTACTGCAACAAGCTGATTCTACTGCAAAACGCAGGTAGAACCTACCACCAAGCGACAAACTCGACAGTCAGCTGAGTAGTTGGGTGCCCTCCAGGCGCTGGATGAAGTTACTGCCAAACGTCAAACTCCGCAGGCTGCTGTGTAGCTGGGTGCACTTCAAACTCTGGGAGGATCATCTGCAACAAGCTCTGGTTGATTCTACTGCAAACCACAGGAAGAACCTACCACCAAACGACAAACTCGACAGTCAGCTGAGTAGTTGGGTGCCCTCCAAGCGCAGGTTGAAGCTACGGCCAAACGTCGAACTCCGCAGACTGCTGTGAAGCTGGGTGCATTTCAATCACTGGGCGGAGCTACTGAAACAAGCACTGGTTGATACTACTGCAACACACACGTTGAACCTACCACCAAACGACGGAAGTCTACAGTCAGCTGAGTAGTTGGGTGCCCTTCAAGCGCTGGTTGAAGCTACTGCCAAACGTCGAACTCCGCAGGCTGCTGTGTAGCTGGGTGCCCTTCAATTCTACTGCAAAACACAGGTTGAACCGACCACCAAGCGACAAACTCGACAGTCAGCTGAGTAGTTGGGTGCCCTCCAAGCGCTGGTTGCTGGGGCAGAAGCCCGCAAAGCAACACATGTGCTAAGCGATGAAAAGATTGACCAATAACCTTCGCCCGTGCTGCTCTGCGGGATACAGTTTTAGTATAATGTCTCGGCGGGACTTCTGTATTTGGGCACACTTGTTAGTCGCGATAACGTGGTTGTCTTCGCGGGTTCACCGCGTTAGACTTGACAAACTCACGCACAAACCTCTCTCGAGCTGCAACACAAGATCCCCCGTCACTCGAGGCCAAATCTTGGGGCGCCCTGTAGGGCGAGTGAAGACGAAGCCACCTGCATAGGCTGGAGAGCATGTTGTTGAGTTGTTGTTGTGAATATGGGACACTGGGGCTGTTGAACTGGCTACAAAGTGCCGGCGTAGAGACTGGCCTGGTAGCTTACACAAATAATGCACTCCGACGTCAAAGCATCTGCAATATCAATAAGCGCGGGGCCCACTATGTCGAATCACTGGACTAACTGTGAGGGGCCAGGGAGTCAACCCCCCCGCTCCGGAGACGTGCCTACCAAGGCCTACCACCAAGACGGCAAAACCAGACCAAACGACACCCACGCTTCTTCCCTAACCTTCATAAGCATAGAATGAAATAACAGCTGCTATGGTATAGTCCGTGTGCAGGAAGCGACAGCACTACGCTACTCGACGTCTCCCTTGTTAGCTGGGCCATCGTCATACACCGATCTGCGAAAATCACGAGTCCGGTCGCTCGAATGCGTATCCCTCCATGAATATTACAGACGTTCCGAAAGCCCGCGCTCTCCACGGATCCCACCTCGCATATGCCTGATGCGAGAGACTTGCGAACGCAGCCACTAGATATGTGATATGTGCAAAGGCCCCTATTGGGCGAAGAGAGAATGCGGGAGAAAAACTCTGTGCTAGAATAATGCGAAGCCAGTCTTGCTGGAACGTCCTGGAGTGGTTCGGCAGTCTCGCAGTGGGCCTCCCTCCCTCCGTGAGAGCTGCACAGGGTTGTAGCCTGCAACGTGCCTCGAAATCCTCGCGCCCGTGCGAGCATGTACCGGCCCGCCTGCTGGCGATGAGCGTGGATGGACAACAATAGCCAACCAAGTCAGCAAAACTGCCCAACACAGCAGCAACTTCGGCAGCACCATGGTTTAGTGACTTCTGATGCCTTCCAACTTCGATGCCGGTCTTAGACTTCCAAACAAGATACTTTGCGAAACGAGGAATTTGTGAAATGCCTGAAAAACAATCGTTACAGTTACAGTTTAAGACTGCAGACATGATGACAGGCAGAACAAGTGAATGGCGCCAACAGTGGCTGCTTTCCCTGCGGCCTTCGACGAGACATGAATGCAAGCATGCATGCCAAAGCACGTCAGGTATGATGCACAGACACATGCAGAAGTCCTGCCCGTGTCCACGCATGCTTGCCTGGCCGCCACTATTGCCATGGTGTCCAGCTGCCTGCACACGGAGGAAGTGACACTGCCGATAATAACGACTCACGTGGCTCATGTGACTCAGGTTGCCGCGTGCACACATGACGACACATGACACATGTCATCATGTCTCTCCTGAACCTTGGGATCATGCTCATGGCCCTTGGGCTGCATGCACACACTAAACCCAGCGCCAGCAGCTCAGACCCACATGCCCATGCATTCAACAAGTGACTCGTGACTGTACCTCATGTGATCCGTGTGCTGCACGAACCTTGGGCAGGTGTCCTGGCGGCGTCGTCGGCGCAACAGCAGTGGCATGCTCGTCCTCTCAGGTCGCATGATTAGACATGTTCATGTTCATGTACATCGAGACTGCAGCGACATTCGGAAACCAAGCCTCGAACCGGCGGTTCATCCCCGACTGCATGTACCTCAGGTGGTGTTGGCGGCGCGCGTAGTCGAACTCTGCATGCTTGAGCTGCTGGGACGAGGGCGACTGCGTGCTGGCGCTGGAGCTGGTACTGGAGCTGTCACTGGAGTCACTGGAGGAGGAGGGTGCGGAAAGGGTGGCGGCGTTGGCGTTCTCACCCTTGGCACGGGGGGTCTAGCTGCCGCAGCTGCCGGAGGTGCTTTGGCAGGTGGCGCGGTGGGTCTGGCTGGCCCAGTGGCCGGGGGTGGTCCGGCAGGTTGTGGCACGTAGACAGGAACCGTCACATACTGAAACACCACCTGCTGGCCACGAGGTCGCATTGGCGGCGGCGGAGGGTTGAACGGACCGAACGGAGGCGGCGGCAAGGGCGGCGCCGGCGGTGCCGTGGCTTTCGGGTCCGTCGGGTCGGAGTCCATTGAGTCTATTGACTTAACAAGTTGTATACTACAGCATACAACACTGTGCAACACTGTGCAGACTGTGCAGTATAAAAAAAATGGCGTGTGCATTTCCAGTTGCTAAGATCTGATGTCACTGTCACAGGCTGTCAAAGCTGTCACATGAGTATCACAGTATCACTGTGACTGTCACTGGTCACTGTATCACCGTATCACACTGGAAGCCTAGCCTACTAGTCTGGCCTAGCCTAGCAGCCTAGTGGCAGCCTGGCCTGAGCGTTGCGTTGTGTGTCGTGACGTGTGTATGCAGTCCGTTGTCCTGAGCCCTGTGACTGCGATCCGGCCGAGCATGGAGTATACAGCATACATTGTACATGCGCTGTTACATGCACTCTCGGACTTCAAGACAAAGCGCAGACGTGAGGTGGCATGAGCTCAAACGAAACAAGAAGCGCTTGCAGAATGATGCGGGCGAACTCGGGAGCGGGCGGCCACGATCGGGAAGTCCAGCGCGACGCTGTCGTGATGCTAGGTCCCAACCTCGGCAGAGTGCAGACATGGACACACTGGACATGAGACGTGCGTGACGTGCATGCAGCAGCATGACGGCATGACATGTTTCACAGGCTCGGCAAGGGACATCACAACGAATCCATCGTACTCAGACTCAGACTCTGACTCGTACTCATACGCTTGGCTTGCTCATGCAAATACGCAACAACTACGGATTTGACGGATTTTAGATTTCTACAATCGATCACGATCACAGTCAATTCAACTCCAGCTTGAGTGTGCGATGGTGGGGGAAGGCAGCAGCGCCAGGCACGCATAACTAGCAGGCGACACAACGCGACTCTGAGGCGCGGACTCGTACTCACAAAGGACCCTGTGCTGCAACAGTTCAGGGTGTGTTCATATCTCACACGACACATGGGATGCTGCTAACCGCGAAGACCACAAAAAAAAAACGTCAGTGGAATTGAACCTGCAGTTACAGCTACCCGTCAGGAAACAACTCTAACAGATTCCGGGCCCGCTGCACTGGCTGATCCAGATCGTTGTCTGCCTGAGTCGTTCGTGACTGGCGACAAGGCTTGGTCGTGCAGGCACACACCGGCCGACACTGCAATGGGACGGGCAGATCTCATGTGCACATGCTGCGCATGCGGATTCTGGATGCGGCGCAGACGGAGAAGCAGGAACAACACGCCATGAGTCGCATGCAGTCGTGAGCGGCAGAAACGATAGAGTCCGTCAACATGAGTCAGCATGTCTCAGAACCATGAATCATGAATCATGACTTAGTCATGAAGGTGAATGTGTCAATGAATCCTCAATCGTGAATTGTGATGCTCATGAGGTAATGACGCGTCATGTGTCATGTCTGTCTCATGAGTCATGAGTTTGCAGCACTACACACAGCTCATCACATGCCGAAGATGTGAGACGCAATCGCACAGAAGGGATTGCGCTTTTGTTTTCATGCATAAAGGCCGGTCGACATGTCACACAGTCGGTCTGCTGATCAATCGGGCTTTCGGAGTCCATGTCATCCTTGCCGTGCAGGGTCCTGTTGCTCATGCTGATGGCATTCGCAAAATGAGACATGACATGAGGTTCTGTGACAGGTGAGGTGACACGCGAAGTCCAGGAAGCCTAACGCCTGACGTCATGTCCGTGCACTGGCGCACCGTGCATGAGCATGCTTTGGACCATGCATGGACCATGCATGCATGACTCACGTGACATGGGCGACCCACTCCTCCTGCTCGTCGCCCAGACGCACAAGGGAACAGCAGTGACAGTGACCACCACCAAACACCGTCGGGAATCGCTGCGGGGGTGCTTTGCAAGGCAGACCACAATCCTGTTGATGCATCCAATCTCTGAGCTTCCTGGCACACGCATTGTGACTACTGAGCAGGCAAATGGGGCATGCCGTCAATGGACCCGGATCGTCGTCGGACGCATCGCCCTCCTCAGCATCCTCACACGTATCCACGTCATGATCCGGGCTCTGGTCCCCAAACGAGCAGATGAAGCAAAGGTCCGACCCCGCAAGCAATGTGTCCGTCCCACGGGGATCTTGTTGTCTGCTCTCAGCCACCCGGCACATTTGCACAATGCGCTGAACCTCCGCGGGGATTTTGTTGGGATTGTTCTTGCTTCTTGTTGACGAATGCGTAAACTGCTTGTCTTTCACAATTTTTGCGTTGGTCCATGGGAGGATAATGCGACCGCCCAACTGTTGCAAATTCAAGGGCACGCGCTTCTTGCCCACCGGGACAATGCATTTCAGAAAGCTGTCGGTAGTCAGGTCGGCCACACGTCCTTCTACACCCGGATTCGTCCACTGCAGAAAGCAAAACGACGACGACGACTCCTGTTCCTGGGCCGGGAGGTGGCATAACGAGACGCACCCTTCGTGGCCTGGATCTTTCGTATGTGAGAGCCAATAGAAGCCAGTGCTTCCAAGACCGAGTTCGGCTTCCGTCGCCCAAAGGTTGCTGGCCTCCGCCAGCATTGCATGCGTAGGACGGCCTTCGGTTCCAACCCGCACACTCGGAGCACGAACGAAAAAAAATGCAGTGACTGGGCAGTGACTGCTAAACGTGTGCGATGCGATGCAATCGTGCATGAATGCAAATACACAAGACAATTAATCAATCACATGATCATGACATGTCATGAATCGTCATAACGGCAGACCTCGCGTGAGTGCCGTATCCGATGCAGACGAGGGTTCGCCTGCAATGTCGTAATTTCCCATGACGCCTCAGCAGAACGTGGCATGTGCACATGTGCATGTCGCTCCGCAGCTGGGCGTATTACCATAGAGCATATCGCTGACATGAGGGTGGCCTGGGTGCCCCGCCTTCCGAATTCAATATCCCCTCAAACAACAGCTCCTGCACATCCGCTGTCCCTTCAATCTCTGGGTCCATGTCCAGCCCGGGGATGTCCATGCCCGCGTGTCTGATCGATTGCAGGTTGACCTCCGAACACATCCCTGAGTCAACCGCTTCCTTTGCTCGTCGGCACTCGCGAACCGTGACTTCGTTCTCCGAGAGGTCCCGCTTGTGATCCCGTGACACATCTTCATCATCCAAATCATCCCCGTGACACTGGTCCTCATCCGACTTGACAGCCAATGCTACGCGTAGCAAATCGGAGTCCGTGTCAGCACACTGTCCACCTGTGCCGGCATCGTCGCCAAACTCCGCCTAAGCCTCCTCAAGCAGCATGTTGATGCCTTCTGTCAGGTCTTCATCGTCCTGTACATCCTCCTCGTCGGACTCGTTGCCGTCTGGATCGCGGGCATCACTGTCCTGTCCGTCATGCACCTGATCTGCTGCGGCAGCCCCTTTACTCAGGGGCTTCTCGCCCCCCTGGGTTGCCTGGGCGAGTCGCTTCTTGACCCTGCGGCTGGGGGGTTTCAAGTGAAACATTGTTTGGGGCGTGCCCGCCTGGCCAAGTGCACTTAGTTCGGTCTGTTTGGTGATCGCAGCCCCTTGCAGAGGAATCCAGAAGACTTTCACGACTCCGCCTGATTGGGTGGACTCCCAGTAGGAGGCTAGCAATTCCGTGGAGCCTCGAAAGCTCAACGGCATCTGGATGGAGACCTCTCGTTCCTGTGAAACCACGCAAGGGGCCAAACGATGGACAGAATAAACCTTCTCCGCAACAACGTAGTATTGGGAACGGCTCTCCTCCTGCCCGACTGGCTTGAAACCAATTGCAATCACCGGAGTGGCAGCTGCAGCAGCATGCCCATTTGATTCCAGTTCTGTGCGCCGGCACGCCAGCTGCTTCTTCAAGATCATGTTGTAGCATGCTGCCCACTTGTATGCCAAGGACCGACCAAAGGGGTGGAGTTTTGCCCACAAGACGGCAACCTCCTTCTCCGAGGGCAGTTGCTGTCCTTTGTCTGACGGCGGTGGTGCTGGCTGTATCCACCGGTCAACCTCGGACTGGACACCCTTGCGGTCGTGCCAGCTTTCGAGGCACACTTCCAACAGGCGTCGTGCAGTCGTGCATTGGGCCTGTAGTGCGACCATTTCCGCCGCAGCTCGGTCGCGCCCGCAACGACCGCCTCTCCGAGGTAGTGCTTGATGCACGCTCGGCTGGAAACCAGCTCGGCGGATGAGGTCGGACCCCTCTCCGTGAACAGCTTCAACATTTTGTTGATGCGTTCACATTCCCGGCTGTCCGCCTTCCACATCACCCCCACCGTGCGGACACACACCCGCAAGCGCCCCGACAGAAGTCCGGAGTGGGCTGCCTCCAGAAGGTCGGCGTGGAACACCGCCTTCATTTTTCTGGCGTTGACTTCTAAGTCGTGGGCGGGTGTTTCCAGAAGCTCCCTTGCAATCTGCTTACGCAGGTTGCAGGCCACACCGTTGGGTTGCTTTCCAAGTAGGAGGAAGCGGTGTGGCCAGCACCGTAGTGGTGCAACAACGCGGCGTTCAAAGGCAGATGCATTCAGAATGATCTGGGCACGGGCCAGCTGCAGCACAAACTCCACGTCGCAGTCCGGAAGCGCACGGTCGCCCGGCGCCGGGAACTTCAACCACTGCTGCCGCTCCTGTCCCTTATGCGCCGCATCCATGTCAATGACGCCTGGACAACTCCACTCTTCCTACTTCATGACGGGTCAGTATTGAACATGAACATGAGCTAGACATGATGTGTCATGAGTCGAGTCATGCATGATTCGTGATGCCATGCATTTGGCTGTGCAGGCATGAACACATCTCATCCCATCGGACAAGAGTCTAAGCAGCATGATGTCGAACTCCGCAAGCATGTCAGCAGCTTTACCACAAACCAATCTGGAGAGATGTCCCTCGCTGCCCACCGGGAGCTTCTTCTTGAGGAAGTTTGACAGGTGGATGAAGGGGCCCTTGACGTGGTGCATCACGTGGGCAACCGTCTCGAAAAGGGGATCTCGCAACGTGTTTATTGAATGGGTGCGCCACTTGCCAATCTTTCTCTGATAGTTCTCGGACTCATCCGCGGCAATGGCATCCACGTCATCGCCACCCCTGTCATTGCGAGAAGTGAGTTCTGGGCTCACCTGGAACATGTGCGAGACCGCTTCGGACAAGCAACAAATGTCGGCCTTCAGCATTCTGGACTCCGTGAGATCTATGCTGCCCCAGCGTTCAGCGATGCAGCGGGGGAACAGCGTCTTCACACGAGCGACTGCTGACTCGTCGCCAAAGAGGACTCGCCAAGAGGAAAACAATGCCTGCGACAAATCCCGGAGTGTGTTCGTGATCATCGCCATTGAGCTGAAGTACCGCCAGGTGCATCCGTGCTCGCGCAGCATGCTGTCAACGTGTTTGAGGCTGCCCAGAACGCCCAAATGGCTTTGATGCTCGAGGCAGGTGCCCGGCAGGTAGAAGAAGCTCTGCATGTCCCGCGTGATGACCTGAATCATTTTTTTGGCATAGGTTTCGTTGGTGCCGCCATCCGTCGTGGCCATGAACCATGCAATGTCTTGAGAATGCCTGCCGATGCGATCTCAGGCTCCGGCCTACGATTGGCCTAACCTGAGTCTAGCCTGACATGATGACATGGCTGACATGGCCTAACATGAGCACTGCGTTGTATGGCCCAAAGACGTGACATGACAGGGTTTCTCAATCTAGTAGAATCTAGTAGGTCTCATGACGAGTCATGCGGCACGCGGCCATGCGGAGTCGTGCGGTGATGCAGAGAAATGATATGCAATGTGATGAGCTTCGGTTCAGATCCAGGATGGACTCCTCACGACGAGTTGCGAATGTTCTGCCTGCCCATGACGTTCGTGGATCCTGAGAAAGTCATGCCACGTGGGACAGCCAAGGCTGGAAAGCATCTTCTCCGACATCCTCATCGTACCCAGTCCTGACCCGTCAGAGACGGGCACGACATCGGCCAGGCGTTTCATGGAGGACATATGTTCCGTGCTGATGGCCGCGAGTGCATCCGTGTCTTGTGAAGAAACAACGTAAGCCGCATGTAATTCCAGTGCCATCATCTTGTGCCGGTGGTTGGTGGCATCTTCCCTGTAGTGAAGGAAGGTTAGAGACACTGACGGTTTTCCTTCCAATAGGTGTGGGCCGTGGTACACCTCCTGCTGCCACCGCTCGAAAAAGAGCCTGCTGTCTGCAACCAAAGCGGCACCGACCTTGCATTCAGCACGCAGGACTGTGCTTTTGGAGGTGTCCTGCAGCAGCACCATGCCAAGGTCTTGCGCTGAACAATTGCTCAAGTTCCGGCGCAGAGCCAACGCAATGGTGCCCTGCGGCGTCAGCCAACCTCCGGTCAGTGCCACATCATCCTCATCAGCGTCCGCACCCTCTTCCGACTCCAAGTATGCCTCCAGTCTGCCGTACCGGAGCTGATTCAGTTTCTTCTGAGCTGTCTTGTGAGTTTGCACACGAGTGATGTCGAAGTTTTTACCCCGGCACTCTCGCTGCAGACCAGCCGTGACGGTGCTCTTCAGCCTCTGCAGTTGCTTTGAATCTTTTGGTCCTTCCTGTCCAGCAGGAACTTCAGGGCCTTGTTCTCCAGCTTAAGCGCTTCCAGCTGTCGGCTGAGTTCCCGGTCCCGATCCACAGCACTGCCACCACTGACAGTACTGCCAGCGGACTGACCAGATGCATCCGTGTCGGTCCCAGCTGAGAATGAAACGGACCGTCGCGTTGCACGGGCCTCCGCCTCCGGCACCGCCGCACGACGCTTCACTGTCCTGTTCAACGGCCCCGTCGATGCAGCCGATGCACCTGCGGTGGGATCGGCTGAGGGTAGACGAGCAGACTGTCGTAATGCCATGGAACCTTTCACGCGATCCCATTCCGTCACCGATATAACCAGGCCGTGGCAATCGAACAACAGGACCGGAACAATGTCGAACCTATAGACATTGTCTCCGCTCAGGAACAGTTCAGCCGTCTGCCGCATGAAATCATCGTATCGCGCGAGACGGCTCTGCGCGCCACGGTCACGTGTGCTCCGAGCCCAGCCACTGGCCCACTGGTTCACAGTGTTTATGTCCTTTGCGGTGAGGAGCAGCTCGGCATCCATGATAAAGCAACATTCCTGCATTTCATGCAGATAGATAGCACGATACGGCCGGACATGAGACACACTGAATCACATTCGCATACAGACATACAGCGATGCATTGCCCTGGAATTGCAAGAGGTCTGTCCTGTAACACGTTCCAAAGAATAGGCGGTAAGCAAAGGTGCGGAGCGTCTGCCGTGTTCATGTCCCCCGACACGTCCACGTCATCCATGTCTCTGTCCCCTTCCCCCGACATGGAGTCAAGCAGATCCACACTATGCGACTATGTGAGTTTTGTGATAAGTGATAGAAACCAATTCACAATCCGCTATGCCACGGCTATGCGACGCGACGCGATGTGGTAAACGGTCGGTAGAGGTTCATAGGCATGTCACATGAGTCATGAGTCACATGAGCAGTCTGCGCAGAACATGAAACTGAGCTTGACGTAACGTATCAATGCGACATGCTGCCCACGCGGGTCCATGAGTCCATGAGGCAACATTAACATGAAACACGGCGTCCATGTGTGTGCTCCGGCACTGCGAGAGAGACAGCGACGGCGGTCGGGCCGGTGGGTGTCGCGAGGCTGACCATGTCATGATGTCATGTAACAACGACTCATGACTCATGACTCATGACTCATGACTCATAGAATGTATAGATTTGCACGTTGTGCCGTGCAAGATATGGAGCTGAGCAAGCCCGTCAGTTAGCTACAGCTACAATGAGCTACAAGTCCACAAGTGCATATCGTACGAGGCCGCGGCGGGCAAGGTGGCCGTATGCAGCCTGGCGAAAAAAACAACAAGAACAACAAATTCTCATGGAGGCACAGCTTTCATGATATCATGACAGAATCATGACGTGAAGCATGTGCCTACGAGACTTCGTCAATCCAAGTGGGGACATACATGAATGAATGGACCAATGGACCAATAAATGGACAACTCCACAGCAAGCAACACAACTGGCCCGTCATGGCATGCATGCACCACATGTAAGTAACGAATTGTAGCATGATGTCCGCATCGCCGCATCGTGTCACATGACTCGACCTCATGCGGGACTCATGTGGCTCATGTGACTCATGTGGTGAAATGCGACATGCATTCATGCATGGTCACCGTCATGGCATGCATGCATCACATGTAAGTAACCAAATCTGACATGATGTCCGCATCGCCACATCATGTCACATGACCACATGTGGCATTCATGTGGTGAAACGCGACATGCATTCATGCATGGTCGCCGTTATGGCATGCATGCATCACATGTAAGTAACCAATTGTGGCATGGTGTCCGCATCATGCCACATGACCGATGACCTCATGCGACTCATGCGGGGTTCATGTGGTGAAATGCAACGTGCAACATGCATCCATGCATGGTCACCGTCGTGGCATGCATGCAGTGCATGCATCACATGTAAGTAACGAACGGTGGCATGATGTCCGCATCATGTCACATGACCTCATGCGACTCATGCGGGACTCATGTGGTGAAATGAGACATGCATTCATGCATGGTCACCGTCATCGCATGCATGCATCACATGTAACTAACGTATTGTGAAACGCGACATGCATTCATGCATGGTCGCCGTCATGGCATGCATGCATCACATGTAAGTAACCAATTGTGGCATGGTGTCCGCATCATGCCACATGACCTCATGCGACTCATGTGGGGTTCATGTGGCTCATGTGGTGAAATGCAACGTGCAACATTCATCCATGCATGGTCATGGTCACCGTCGTGGCATGCATGCAGTGCATGCATCACATGTAAGTAACGAATGGTGGAATGATGTCCGCATCATGTCACATGACCTCATGCGACTCATGTGGGACTCATGTGGTGAAATGAGACATGCATTCATGCATGGTCACCGTCATGGCATGCATGCATCACATGTAACTAACGAACTGTGGCATGATGTCCGCATCATTGGACTTCATGTGGGACTCATGTGGTGACATGAGACATGCATTTGCATTCATGCATGGTCGCCGTCATGGCATGCATGCATCACATGCAAGTAACGAATCGTGGCATGATGCCCGCATCATGTCACATGATCTCATGCGGGACTCATGTGGTGAAATGCGACATGCATTCATGCATGGTCACCGTCATGGCATGCATGCATCACATGTAAGCAACCAATTGTGGCATGATGTCCGCATCATGTCACATGACCTCATGTGGCCTCGCGTAGACTCGTGTAGTGAAATGAGACACGAATTCATGCATGGTCACCGTCATGGCATGCTTGCACCACATGTAAGTAACCAATTGTGGCATCATGTCCGCATCATGTCACATATCACATGGCCTCATGTGGGACTCGTGTGGTGAAATGAGACACGAATTCATGCATGGTCACCGTCATGGCATGCATGCATCACACGTAGGTAACGAATTGTGGCGTGATGTCCGCATCATGCCACATGACATCACGTGGGACTCATGTGGTGAAATGAGACATGCATTCATGCATGGTCACCGTCATGGCATGCATGCATGATGTCCGCATCATGCCACATGATCTCATGTGGGACTCGTGTGGTGAAATGCGACATGCATTCATGCATGGTCGCCGTCATGGCATGCATACATCACATGCAAGTCATGAATTGCGGGATTGTGTCCGCATCATGCCACATGACCTCATGCGGGGACTCATGTGGTGAAATGCGACATGCATGCATGCATGGTCACCGTGATGGCATGCATGCGTCACATGTAAGCAACGAATTGTGGCATGATGTCCTCATCATGCCACATGACATGACCTCATGTGGGACTCATGTGGTGGACTGAGACATGCATTCATGCATGGTCGCCAAGCTCGTCGTGTGAAACATGGTTGCGACATGGCATGTGTGCACATGGTCGCACGACTCGCCGCATGACTGAATGTCGTAACGTGCCACGGTTCGCTACTTGGTCAGAAACATCGTGACAGATGCAGACACATGCAGCAATGACATGCAACACATGAGGACGTGATTGTCGATGCATATGCAGAAGAAGCCGTGCAACAGATGGACGCTGAAAACATGGTCCGCTTGCATGTAGTGAGACAGAAGTGGCAGCATGCATGGTCCGTCCGTGAATAAAACAATGATTCCTGTCAGCGGTGCGATTCAGATCAAATGTTTCCTAGTGAATCTCCTTGCACAAATCCGCATGTCCATGATAGAAACCATGTGGAAATATGGTCAGCGGACTCAAAAACAATGTCAGGCAAGGCGACATGTGCAGCAGGACCATGAATAAAACAATGCATTGCGTGGGGACCGCCCATTACGACATGTGCGTCCTATTGAATGTTCACATTTTAAACATGATGCATGATGCCACAAGCCGCAATGAAAAACATGACAGGAGCAAGTTTCCGTGGTTTATGTATGCACCCTGACGAGATTACTTGCAAAAAAATGGGCATTGGAGGTGCTGTCTGGTTTTTGAATTCTGAACTGGACTGGCCTGGGCAAAACTGGTCGGTCTGCCAACCCCTCCGTCCGCCCCGCAAGACCCGTCCAAATCCGCCTGGGTGACCCAAGAGGTGCCTGCTTCCTGCTCCGGACCCCCAAACGCCCCCAAGTCCTAAGAAAAACCGGCCACAAGCCACAGTGCGAACTGAGACCTACAAGCTGACCGGTCAACCAACAGAGAGGCCGTGCAAACGAAAATCGTCTCGCCCGAGACCTCAAAGCAAAACAAGGCATCAGCAGTCCCGCCTAAGAAGGCACCGTTCAGAGTGTAGAAGATCTTGCGCTTTGCTTGCGCCAGAAGCCGCAGCCCTCACCAGAACGCTGGGCTCCCAATGGGAGGCATTTCTGGCTAGCTATTTTGTCTGGCTTATCTGGACTCTTTTCAAACGAAGCCACCTCCTGTGACGTGTGATGCCTCGCCGTCGCCAAAGGAGGCGGGAAGTTGACAGATCCCGCAGCCAATTACGTCTCCTGTTGCCCCGAAGGTCAATGGCCCTGCCACCTTCGCGTCTGCGAACTGGTAACCTCGATTAGACGCGTGGAACAGCTGGCCGTCGTCGCTGTGGAGGCCCCAGGATTCTCCATCCCAGCCTGCCTGCTGCTTGGCAACAGCGTAGCGCGAGAAGCGCGGCGTGCAGAGCCCCACTGAGATGCAGTGCAGAACGGCTTCCTCCCGGTCCCTCCCGCGGCCGCAGGCACCAACTGCGCCAGCACCGCCCACCGTAACCTGACAGGAAGGTGCACCACGGAGCCACTTGGCATAGTGCAAAGCAGCGACGGCTGTGTGCTGCGACATGGTTTTTATTGACTCCTTAAACCTCGTAGTACGAAGCACTGCGGTAGGCGACTCTCCAGTGGCACCCATCTGTTTGTTCGCAGGTGTACGGCAGGACGGTGGCTGAAGGGACCGCAGGCAGCGGCAGCTGAGCCACGACGCAGCGATCTCGTCCGATGAAGCCCGGGCGCAGGTGGCACCGCACCACCCTGGGACACAAGTCACTGGGAGAAGCCATGAGAGGGTCCATGTGCAGAAGCTGTGAGAACGAGCCTCCCATCGGCATCTTGGAGGAACTGCACTCCCTCCGGTGCCGATGCCGACTCGCCGTAAAGACTTGGCCTGTCACAACTGCGTCTACCGCACAGCAACATGCTTGTACGGATGTTTCTCTGCTGTTCGTAATTGCTGTGGTTGCTCTGATACTTCTTGCCACATACGATGATGAGAATGGCTTTCGCTATTGCCCATCTTTTCACATACTGTGGTTGCCCATGACTGATACTGGTGTGGTTGGAAAGAGTGTTGTAGTGCTACTGCTGTTTCGGTATCAACTGACGATTACAATTGCCAACACTCTTACCATGCTTGCTACTGCTGGGGCTCCACCTTAGGAGTGTTCCTATTCCTATGCCTGCGTAACACAATCATTACTTCTATTACTACTGCTATTGTTGTTGCTGTTCTTACCACTTACACTGCGCGTATTCCTACTGCCACTATTGCCATTACTATCTGTTCCTGTTGAATTCTCTTCTAGTGGCGCATGCATTCATGACGAAGACAGCCACGACGATGGCAACGACCATGACCACGACCGGGGATGATGACGGCGACAACGAGGATGAATAAACGATAATCATGATGATGATGCGAACAGTTTAACCGGTGCAGAAATGCATGACTGGGTCAAGGCGCAAGAACTGATAGTCCTCGCTCGAGCTCCGAAGAGCATTCTTACCTGGGGCAATGTCCAAGTCGTAGAAGGCACCTGAGGACCGTTGCTGCCGGAGTCAGTTCGAGCTTCCCTGTCTTCAAGAAGAGCGTGCAAGACCATGTCAATGTAAGCACCAGCAGATTTTCCCTGAAGCTGTCGAAACCGTCTCAAGACTGTGAAACTGTGGCACGCTTCCAGCACCACCGCGGGCTTGAAGAACTCTGCGCACCTGTACCACGGAGCTGTGGCAAACAGGCGCAAGTCGCAAATTTGAAACCTGATGGGTCGACAATTGATCCAAATTTGTTCCTTGCTTTTTTGTTTTTGATTTTTTGGTTTCCGTTTCCCGGAACAGCTCCAAGAAGCCGAACTTTGCAACAGTACAACCCAAATGAGAATTTGCACATGCTGCAGCAGTTGGTGTGTTAATGCCTTGCAATCGAGGTCCCGAGCCCGCGGGGCACAGCAACTCAGCCGGAATGCCAAGCTCCTCCAAGACATCATGGAAGAATCAGTTAGCCACAAAGCTTGCGCAACCCTTCCGGGACAGATTGTAGACACAGACCTTCGTCGGATGAGAGACAGCAGAACACTGCTGCCACACGGCTTGAAGTCCTGCGCGCAAAGCTCCTTCCAAGCGTTCTGTACCAGTTCCTGCATTGGGGTTCTGCCCGGAAACTGCTCTGCTCCAAGAAGACTCTTGCAACGGAAGTGTAAAGACACAAAAATGCCACGCATGAGCCGGCCTCCTCCGCCCAGCCTGTCGTCTGGACACCTTCGCGAAGTGCATGTCGGGGGTTGATCCAACATGAACCAGAAACGGATCTTGAATGCAAACTGCCGGCAGCATCTGCTGCCCGGAGCAAACAACAGGAATCATGCCAGAGCTGTTGCGGCGTGCTGGGTCAAACACGGAGCAGAGATGGAGGATCCAGAAAAAAGACCCACTGCAACGGCAGCACGTCCAAGCGCGTCACGCCACAGGCCTGGCAGCTGCACATGCCTTTTGATGCCTGCCGGCGCTTAATCACAACAGAACCCGCAAGTCCAGCACCTCACGGGGCGCGCTAATCGTGCGCAGCGGCGTCGCACCCATGGGGACAACTTGGGACTGCAAAGCTTGTGCTTCCTGTGTCTCGGATGGATACGTAAACATATATACGTATATGTATGCAAATATATACAAATATATACATATGTATAGGTATATACATAATATATATATATATATATATATATGGATACATACACATACACATACACATACACATATACATATACATATACATATGCATATGCATATGCATATACATATACATATACATATACATATACATATGCGTGAATATATAGAAATATATATGTATGTATATTAAGTATTGACATATATATATATATACACACACACACGACTCAGACTCTACGTCCCACGTCTTGACATATTGTCAGCGATGAGCCAGGTGTGCTGTCTCAAGCCGCTCACAAGTCCAGAGAGCTTTGCCCCTTCGACTCAGGTCCTGCTGCGGGGCAGCAGGTGCCTTTTCTCCCCGGCCGGGGCAGAAAGGCCTCAAGCTGACCTTGCACCTGCCACTGTGTCCGAGGATCAAACTCACGACCGCGAGAGCACCTCGCGTGCTCACGCATCACGGCAGCCAAGTGTCAAGCTGCATGGCATAAGTCGTCGTGGACGCACTGTTGCACCCTGCTGGAAAATTAGGGACTGCTCGCGCAGTGCTGCTGCGCTGCAGTCCATCACAGGCTGCTTTGCAGGATCTGTGCGATGCCACAAAGTTGCGAAGACTATTAGCCCTGCAACCCTGCGAAGCCACCCAGTTGATTGCTGTCTCAAGGTTGGATGCTGGGCAAAATCATAGGATGTGCCCCGCTAGTGCTGAGTAGGTAGGATGCTCGGAGGCTTCGAACTACTTCAGGAGGTTGACGATGCCTGCAGGAATACGAACTTTCAGTCCATCATCCCGCTCTTTGTCCAGGAATACCTGATACAGTACACACCGTGTGATGGAGCCAAAATCATACTCAGCATCTCCGTCTCAAACGTTGTGCAAGTGTATATCACAGAACACCATGTAGACAAAAAAGGAGTACACACAAGGAGCACAGGAGAGAGGCAGAGAGTTGGCGTCGACCCTGGGGCCTGGCAGCCTAAGCGAGAGGTGTCGGTCACGTCCTGCGCCAAGTCGAGCATGTCGGCCTCGCACACGCGAACTCTCTCTGGCCTGGCTGAAGCCTGCGCTTTCTCGAATTCGTATCCGCCGGAATCCTTTTTGGGATCATGCCTGGGCCTGGGCAAGCCTTGGCCTGAATCGCTCAGCGAAGTGGCTGAAAGCTGCGACAAGTCTCTACAAAGGCAACTGTGCAGCTGCTGTCCGTTGGGTGAATCTGTACAAGGACACGTGTGGCACGGCGTCCTCGTGCACCTTTCGGCACGGCGGACACATCTGAAAAGTGTCCCGGACAACAGACTTTTGCCTTCAGGTCGCAACTCTGTAGCACTGTAGGCGTTGTAGCCGTCAGCTGTGCAAGACTCGGATTCTGAGAATGTGACCATTCTCATGCTGGTGCGAAGCAGATGTTTCGCACGTTCCTCTGGCTCCTAAGCGCCACCGACTGACGCAGGACGAAGAAGGTTCAAGCATGCCTCGACATCTGGAGCAAATTCGAGCTTGCGCGACTGCGGCAGCCCAGAAGGCACGGCCTTGGCGACGGCCGGGGCGCCGCCCGCCTTCCGCAAAGCCTGGGTTATACAAACACGGAAGCATCTGCGGCATGGCTCTTGCTGCCGCTTTTCCTGGCCTCGCCGAGCAAGTGACTGCAGCGGCGCTGCTCCTCCGCCTCGCTCCCCAACGCTGCCATCACCGCGTCTGCGATGGCTCCTGGCAGTCCCAAGCCGAGCAAAACTGAGCAGCACAACCGCACCGTACAAATCCCACAATTGATCCTCGCGGAGTGGCCAAAGGATCCGGAAAGCACTTGCCAGCTCCGGCCCTCTCAATGGCAAATCCATTCGAGGGCTGGTCCACACAGAAAGGCACCACGACCATCGGAACTCCCACAACGGCAGCCTGCACGTGACTCAGGCGACCGCTCTGATCCGTTTCATGGCAGGATTTTCGTCAGCGCCTCTTTGATGCTGTTGCAGCCCCCATGCGTGACGAAAACGTCCGCATGCCTCAAAGCTTGAACCTTGACAGCCGTCATCTCTGACACTACAAACCGACCAGAATCGACAAGAAGTGAAAGGGCAGCAAGGAGCTTGGTCGATGTACTCTTCGGCAACGAAGTTCGACGGCAATTCCCCAAGCATGTTCCGAGCATCTGCACGTGGCCCGATGCTCATCACCACGCGGAGATCCGGTCCTTTCCATGCATGCATCCAATCAATGCACATGCTGCTTGACTGCAAAAAATGCCTAACCTCAGCGCTGTCGGAAGCTGGTTGGTTCCAAGTATCCTGCCCTTACAGTAGGATTCAAAACGGCACTCCACCAGCAGGCTGGGTAGATGCAAGCTGTCCATGTTTGAAGCCCTTGCAGAGTTGCGGTCGCCGGTTTTGTTACTTCCATTTTACTTACCAACTTAAGCCGCAAACACACCTCTGTACACAAACACGCATACACACAGATGCACACGCACATACACACGTACACATACAAGCACACATACCCGCACAAGTACAAGTACACATGCACGTACTAACACAAAACATGCACATACACATGCACATACATGGCATTTCACGAGCACGCTCGTGCCAGCTGAACTGGCATCTGTGAGCGTTGCCTCCGACTGATGCAACGCTGAGAACGCCACCGTTTCAAGCGGCTGTTGCCGGGGCGCCATGTTACACCACCCACCCTAGATTGAAATGAGCTTTGGAAATCCCGGTCGAGACCCTCGCCTCGGATCCATTTACTGCGGCAGGATGAAAGCTCGTCGTATTTTCAAGTGTTGGTCTTGAATACCTTGCAAAACTCTGTTCTCCTTAATTAGACTCCTCCCCCCTCCATGCGGAATATGGTGGCAATATGAATTTATTCCGGGAGATTAGTTCCTCCGGAGGCCAGGCCACGCAAAATGATCAACATACATTTTTCAATACTTCGCATCCTCCGCATGATCCCCATCGGCAAATGCGACGAAACTTGCATCCGCAGACTAAAGTATCAGGGCAGGCCAAACACAGGCAAAACTCGGATCATCGACACAGTACAAAACTCCAAGCGATTGCGACGCCATGCAAAGCTCTCGCGGCCGCCAAGCATCGGTCTTTGAAGGTCTCAATCAATTCGCTCCAGAGGCGATCGCTCACCTCACGTCCTGTAAATCTCCCCAGCGAGGACCTGTCACAGAACATCGCAAAATTGGGAGTTTCGGCAGCCTTCGGCCTTCGTCTCTCTCAAGACTCTGCGCTTTCTAGGCCGAGCCACACGTGCTCGGCGCTCTCCCAGCGCATGTCTACGGTCAAGCTGCCCAAAGACACGACGACCACCTGCACCGTGCAGCATGCATCTCAGGTACCCGCATGAGAAGTTCCACAACGGAACAATTTCCACGACTGCTCAAACACCTCAAACATCCGAAAATCCCTAAGAATGTGGAGCGGGTCTGCACACATGCTATTTGCGTCGCCTAGGAAGCCCAAGCCTAAGCCTAAGCCTCCCCTCGTCGTAGTCTTGTTCTGCATGCTCATCACCCAACATCATCGTCATCATGCTTGTCATCTTCATCTCGTCATCGTCACCATCAACACCATCACAATCCTCAGTACCATGACATGATCATGAACATCATCATCATTAACACCTGGACCTTCCTCACTACGATGGTTATCAGCATGGACGTCCATTGCCATCACCACCGACATGCTCATCGCCACATCATCATCGTCACCACGATGAAGATGAAGCTGAGGATGAGGAAGTTGATGATGGTGATTGTGGTGGTGTTGAGTTGGTGTGGCAGACCCCCTCCTTCCTGCTGGTATCCTGGTTTCCTGGGTCCTGGTGGTCTCCTGGTAGTCTCTCGGTGGTCTCTGCATAGTCTCTTCCGGGTCTCCTGGGTCTCTGGTTACTGTGGGGACCTCCCTGTGGTCTCCTGGTCCCGGTCCTGCTTGTCGTGGTCGCCGTGCTCTTCGTGCGTTAGCATGCGTAAAAGCTGGAGAACACGGATGGCAACTAATTGCGACCTGTCTTGTTCCAAGCAATTCAGGCCAGTTTGCATGTGACAGTGGTCGTGGCTTTCTGGTCCTGCTGGTCTTTGACTGTTCGGGGATCTCCGCTGTGCATAATCATATTTAGCCCAGCTTTGGCTTGTGTTGTAGGCAGTAGTGACTTGCAAGGCTTCCTGGTGGACTGTAGTTGCGAATTCCGGCAGGTAGGATTTACCTCGCTTGTAACGCTACATGCCGGCCTCAACATGATGGAACCGCTCCATTTTAGGAAGCCAGCAGGAGACCCTACGAGCCCACCAGGAGAGCAGCAGGACAGCGACACTGGCAAAATGCTTTCCCCCACGTACTGGCGCAATCAGAACCACGCCCAAATTGACGGGATTCAGGAGGATTCGGGAGCACGGCGCGAATGCTTTTCCCCAAGTACTTGCGGATCCAGTACGGCCGCGAAACTGTTTTGCCCCAAGTACTGACACGGTTCGACACGACCTCTTCGCTTGAGGAATACCCGGAATCGTTTCCGCCATGTGTTTTGCTGGAACGAAAAATGGGCCCTGTCGTTTTTTTGGCCTTTGCACAATGCATCAATCCTCTGCAAGTAACAGGACGTCAGCGAAAACTATATGCCGCACCACAGCGGAAGACGCTCGCCGCGAGCAAGCTGTGTAAATCACAGGACACGGGGACCTGATTGGCAGCATTTGCTGCAAGCATGAAGACGAGGCAAGCATTTTTGCGAGCCGCGCCGGGCTCATAACTGAACGCAAGAATCCTATAGTGTTACAACACCGTTTGGGAATTCAAAATCTTGAGTGCTCCGGTGCTTAAGACCTCCTTCTTGTCGTTCCGGCTTACGGTCGCTTGCAGAATCCTATCACTCGAAACTGTACACGTGAACTATATCTCGTGGCTTGCCATAATCATCCGCACAGTGCTGTCTGCCTCACTTCAGGGTTGGAATGTAGCTTCATTTGGGCCGAGGCCTCACCCTCAAACCGGCTCATATTCACATAGCTAACCTTGAAAGCTGCTGAAGCTTCAACAGAGCAACCTGCAGCGTGCTGAAGCCTAAGTAGGCAGAAATCGCTACAGCTTGGACGGCTGCTTGGCGCGCTGCCCGCCTTGACACCAGGAGGAGCATGCCACGCAGCTTTAGTCGCTGATGAGCATCGGTCCTGTAGTATACAAGCCCAGATCGCACGGAACAGAAACACGAGTTGCAAGAGGTACATGCGTCCATGTCCTCGTTGGGTGCGGACGCACGATTCGCAGAGGCTTTCATGTCGTCGACGGCACCAACCCAGAGGAAAGTGGAGTCATCCAGCAAGGCCTGCCTCACGCTGCCAGTCGCATGTTCCAGGCGAACGTCACGCAGAGCCATTCTGCAATTTGCAGCACTTCCCCTGCAGCCAAGTCTCTGATACATCGGCACCTTACCCTGGAGTTGCGGCACAGAAAACCTCATTGGTTGCATCCCTTGGGTACATCTTTTCCGAGCTGGCTTGCCAAGAAGCATGATGTTCAGCTGGCGACTGTAAAATCGGCATTGCCTGCTAGGCATCTGCATTGATTGGGGTATTGGTGTTAATCCCCAAGTCTCTGCCGAGGCACAGCTGTGATGCACACACATCCACACCGAACAGTCGCAGGGCAACTTGGTTGACCTCCAACGCAGGCCCAGAAGGGCAAGAAGCCAAGTGTTGCCACTTGGCAGAAGGAGCCTCCTGCATGCCTGGATGCTTCGCCAAGTTCTCGTCGACTGCCTGTGGGCTCGGGCTCGGGCTCGGGCTGGGAGGGCCGGCGGGCCCTGCCTGGCGGTCTTCTTCCGGGATCTCGTAGAGGTGCATGGGGGTTCCTGCCACGCAACTCGGTGCAAGGCAAGCCGACAAGCCTAAGATAAGCGCAGAATTCAGAGAGACCTCCCACCCCCCGTCCAGGACCCGGGTACGTCGAGAAGGACACACCAGGAACCCCGATCTTGCAAGCAGCAAGATAAGGGTGCAGCAGCATCACATTGTACAGGACCTCTGTCTCAAACTTACAAGTCGCAAGCAGCTTTCGGATCACTGACCGACCGGGATGAGAACGGCTAAAAGCTGAAGATGGTGCCAGGTCTGGGCGCCAGCTTCCCTCTTTGCTCCAGAGATCCGCCAGACGCCTGCCCAGGACGACACCTCCCAGGGAACGACTCTGCTTAGTCGTTGGTCAACCACACTTTGCACGGCCCCAGCAGCTAGCTGGCCTGTGGGCAACGCGAAGTGCAACCACCGGAACGCGAGGAATTCCTTTTCCATGCCGTCCGCCGTCAGCGCTGCCAAGCCCTTCCCGCAGCCATGTGCCTGAAACCAGCCGGCCTCCTCCTGGCGTCAACTTGCACTATGAAGTACGGCACAAATCGTTGCCGTCACAGTCCTCCATCAGCGCATCCCAGCGGAGAAAGTATTCGTCAAACTTGACTGGCGAAGCGCCAGCACCCTTGACGTCCGCGACATACGTGTCCTCACGCTCAGACAAGACCCAGAAGTGCTTGGGGCCTTAGGGAAGGGGCAATTGCGAGCAAGCTCAAAGCTTTGCATCCTTCGTCAAATAGTAACGAACGTCGCAGCCCCGTTTCGCAAGCTCGGCAATCACAGGGAGCACCGGATTGACAGTGCCGACCTGCACCCGCACAGCCGCAACGAATCGTTCTTGACATTAACCCCTTCCACCACTCGTCCTCAGTCTTTCTTTAGAGTCTACACATGCGGACACTCTGAGAAGACGAGGCACAATCTCCATATTGAAGATTGCAATCCGCGGCGTCGTTTGGTCTGTCGCCATGGCCAGCAACACTTGCTTGTAGTCTTCGAAAGCGGAGGGTGCACGCTGGAGCCCAGGCATCACTGCAGTCTTCGCACTCGACACGACACAAACGGAACAGTGCATGTCCGAAGTCGAGGGGTTAGGGCCGGTCCGAAGCGTCTCGAAACCCAACGTGCCAACGAGCAGACTCGCTGACCTATTCTCTTGTCTGCTTACTAGCCTCGTCATCATCCGGCGGTGGCAGTTTGTCGAACTGCTCCTGTCAATGAGGTCATGTCACAGCTAGCAGGCGAGCGCTACATAGGCCCACCCAACTGGTGTAGCAGCTCCTTCTCCAGAATGATATGGCAAGTGCTGCATGCGCATTCTCCGCCACAGGCACCCTCAATGTCAATGTCGTGGTCGTGCGCGACCTTGCCGCACGAATGGACTTTTAAGGTGCGAAGACAAACAACGACACCCTTTAACGACTGCCACCGTCACGACTGAAACTATGCAACGGCTGCAGTGAATTACTAGCTTCGCCGTCACGGGTCCCACCTGGAGCAGCGTTTGGCCACTCTTGGCTTTCACGGCGACACTCCCGCCCTCGCCAGCGTGCAACACGAATTCAAGCAGTACAGATTGGGGAAGAGTTGCACAGACACAGACCCTTACGAAAGACTACGAACTTGGTCGCCGCACATCCTCGTCTTTGATGAAGTGCACCGTGAAGCTGCAGTACCTGGGCCTGGCAAAGCTGACTTCACGATTCGGTGATATTTGCATTCAGGTTGCACAACATGATACGCGATAGAAGTCATCTCATGTAGTCAGTCCTGTACAGCTTGCCATCTGCCTAGAGCTATGCACCTCCCGGGAAGTGCGGATCTTGTTGGCCGAACCGCTGAAAGCGCACCTTCCGCCAATTGAAAGACGAAACATGGGTGGACCTTCTGCTGCTGACAAGCTTTGGGAGGTTTTAAACCGCACCTGAGCCAATCCGGCCCAGATATGGCTTGGACAAGCAGCTCGCAGCCCGGAGCATGAAAAGGACACTCCTGGCAGTTCCAGAATAATGGCGAGAGGCTCAGATGCTCACAAAAAGCAGTCGGCCAAGCCTGCGTGCCACTGAAGCACGTTCTTAAGAGGTGCCCTTGCTGCACTCGGACAACTGTCCCTAAAGAAGCCAGCAGATCTGGCTTTGAGCACATCGGCACCATATCCATGTTGTGAGCTCTTGATGGCCACATCACACCGTGTAGTAACAGCTCCCATCCTGCAGTGCTGCGAGCTTCATCAGATTGCAAATCGGAAGGATGCTGCAACGTCCACTGCTCGATCGATTTCAGACATGTTGTAGAAGCTGTGAAGGAAGCTGTCTCAGAAAGGCTTAAAGGCGTTGTGCTGTTTACAACTAGAGTTTCCTTCTCGCCTCGCGGCTCTGCGGCTCTGCTCGGCAAGTCTTTTTGGCCGGCTGTCCGAATCGGCGCATCGGCCACGAACGCTTCCTGTGGAAGGCTCGTTGAGGCATCTCTCGCTCTCTCGCGATCGCGATGGCCCTTGCAGGGGCCCAGGCCTTTCCAACACGAAGATCACACTCCACACTATGCTCACGAAGATGAGCTCTTCGGGCTTGGAAAGGCTGACATCACTCTGGCTGCGGCTTGAAGAGACCGGCTTCTCCTTGCTTTTCGTGAAACTTTCAACTCGCTTGACTTTGACTTCGAGCTCGTACTCAGAAGAGTGTACAGTGTACAAGTCCAAAGGCCATCTGCCAAGGGAAAGCAAGGAGACAGAGTGAGAGGACGTCTAGATGCCCGAATTTTCGAAGTTCCACAGCCAGATAGCTGCCTGTGTCAGCTATCTGCGGTGTGAAGAGATGGAGCCTCTGAGCCTCTGAGCCAGAGCTCCACACCCACTCAAGGGTTGACATGGCACAGCCACGGAGGGAAGCCCGGCTGCAGATGATTCAGCACCTCAACAGTCGAGGGAAACTCGCAGTACAAAAGGATCACACCCCACTGTCGCAACAATGAAACCTCACAAGTTTATCCGGAATGTTGAACCATCCTTCCCGGCACCCTTCAACTGGAACACTCTTCGTTGTCCAGATGCCGCGGCTTTGCCATGCTTGGGAAAAACCATGCATACTGGCCCACGCCCACCGACAGTGGGCCAACGAGTAAAAGTGCCGCTGCGCATCGTCTATGCATAACAACCACTGCAGATCCCTTGCTTGCGTAAAGGCTGACTATAATGTTCTTCGCTGAAGAACCGAAGCGCATTGCACAAGTGGCTGAGCAGGGTGCTACGGATGAGCAACCACAGTCCGAGCCACGAGTCATGAAAAGGTGACCATAAATGCAAGATTCCATGGCAGTGTTTCCTTCTCAGCTAGCCGATGGTTGACTGCACGCTCGTCTTTGCATGTGCCATAGGATGATTAGCTGGAGATGCTTGCAATACAAGTACCTCGTGTGGCAAGAGAAAACAGGGAAGCCCTGCCCGACAACTAAGCGTCTACAAGGAACGCCAGTTCCCCAGACTAGCTAGCTACCTGATCAGTGCTTTTCCGACAGGGCGGCGCACCGTTCCAGAATCCTGAACAGTCGCACGTGCCCACTCAGTCAAACTTGCTCTGGGCAAGCCCGTACGATTACTCTGGTCTGGTATGCCTCAGAACACCGGAACCTTTCCCTGGGCGGTTTCTGCCTGATTGAAGCTTCTGTGGCTTCCGTCCGCCTCAGTTCCAGGGAAAAGCGGAAGCCGTCCTTCGGTGAGCCTTGAGACATCGATCCCTCCAAAGGGCCGCTTGGGCCCGGGGCTGCAAGTCTTGGGTAAACTGCGCGTCTGGGAAGCCACCGGGCACTCCTTTGCCTCAGAAGGCCACTCGGATGCAGTTTGGGCCCAAGGTAAGTTGTCTCGACATGTTTGCTCACAGCCTCCATGGGCATCCAGGGCCCCCGCACTTCACGGCCGCATCCAGCCACCTCCTCATCCTAGCAGCTCTCTTTCAGAGCCCCGCGAGCCCCTCCAGCAACCATGGGAACCCGTACAGTAGCAACTGAGGCCATCCACCCTGGATCATGGCCTGAGCTCACGTGCAAGTGGTGACATGATAGAAGAATATAGAAGTCAATGTAATGCACAACACTCTGCTATTATATACTGTAATATACTCTAGTCCAAGATTTTCAGGCGGGAGACTCCAGTAGGCATCGCCGTATCTTTTCCAATCCTTGTCCCCTTTGAGGATCTTCACCTTGGCCATTGTCTCCTTGTCGAAGATCCTGAGCCACAGGCGACAGATCCCCCCTCCCCTGTGCCGCGCATGGCTGCGTGTCTGGGCGCCCAGCTTGCTGCCAGCGGCGTAGATCGGATAGAAGGCATAGGGGAGACTCAGACACCTGGCAAAGGGCTTCCCTTCACGAAAGAGGCGCAGGCAGACTGGCAAAGCAAGCTGCTGGGTTCCTGGCACAATCTGCCCAAATCTTTCTGGGTAATGGCTGGCGAACATAGGGAAGGCAAGGGCCTGGACAGGCTTCACTCGCAGAGCAGGGTTACATCGAGAACGCTGCCGGGGCCCCTGCACCAATTTTCGGATTGCAATCTGCAAACCCGAAGCCCGCAAAGTCCACGATCCAAGCCTCAAAGCACGTCTGGAATTCATGTAAGCTACGCGCTTGCCTCGGTCCTGCAAGAGTGCATGCCACACACTCTTTGGACCGGAGGTTTCCTGTTTGTTTCGACGGGTCAACTTCCAAGGCGCCAGACACGAAGGCACGCAGGCAGCCGAAGATGCACAGACACTGTAATGCTTGGGTTTGGGGGCCTGGGGCCTGGCTTACTTCGTTTAGAAGGAGACGGGATCAGGCGGATTTCTCCTTCGACAGATAACCCCGTCCCTACAAGTTCAGCTAGCAGCTTTTGGAATCTTGGGGCGAGGCAACGGAGCCGGGAATGGTGGAGTTTTTGAAGAGCCTGCGTGGACAACCCTTCCCTCACTGGCTTGCTGGCAATTGATGGCAAGTGATTGCCTTTCCAGCTCCGTGGCCATGTGCTCGATGCCGTCCTCGGGCGTCTTGTTGGCTGCGCGCCCTGTGCAGGAGTAGATTACCTCGGCCAGTGCCAAACCGTCAACAGGCCAACACCAGGCAAAACAGAGACAAGGAAGTTGGGAGACCGCTAAATGCCTTGTGCTTCCGCCGCAGTCGCTGCCACGAGCTTTTTCGGTGTCCCAGCTTTCAGAGACCACACTTCGAGGACGTTGCCCTCTTTGACCAAATCAAAGTTCAGCTGCCCGCTTGCGGCGCTCAGGCTGAAGCTGCCTTTTTTCAGGGAACATCTCTGAGAAAGTGAAGAGTTAGTCCGAGGGACCTCGTGGATGGGAGCCCGCCGTTACACAAGACTCTAGTGAGTGCCAGCTAACGGTCTTAGACTAAGACTCTGCGCCTGTCATACCAACCCTGCAGCCCTTCCCAGTAGTCTTGCCCCGAGCAGCGGCGCCTCCTTTCCCGAGACAGCCAGTCCGTCAGCTCTTGCAGAAGGAACTTCTCATCCCGACGGAGAACCACCGCATCTTGCCAAACTCCAGCTTTTCCTTTTCTTTGCAACAGCCGCTCCTCGTCCAGCAATGATCCGCCAGCCATCTCAGAGCGTTTCTCCTCCAGGACCCCGAGCAGAAAATCTAAGAGGAGCCGCTCGTCGTCGGGGTTCAAGTACCTGCAAGGGCCCATGGACCAAGTCTCCTGAAAAAGACCAGGTATGTCAGGCAGGCGAAGGACAGGCTGCAGTGGCCGGGGAACGGTCAAAGCACAGGCCTGCCTGAGATCCGCAAAAGACTCAGCCTGCGTTGAGGCGATCCACGCTCGAAGGAAGGCCAAGAGGGGCTGAAGGGATCCCCCCCATTCGGACGCCCTCTCCCCGCTCTCCCCGCTCGGCCCGATCTGCGCAGCGCAGCCTCCCACGATGAAGCTGAGATGCGGCTCGAGGGCCCGAAGCAAATCCGACGAGGACAAAGCCCAGCCGAAGCCTGGCCGACTGAGTGAGACGTAGGGCAAATCCTCTGGCCTTAGGGTCAGGCGCGATCGCGTCAAGCACGTAAGGTTGTGAATCCAGGGGACCGTAAACCCGAAAGTCCAAAGCGACTCCTCGTTGCTCTGGAGCCCATAGACGTCCGTCACCTCGGTAGCCTCTCGCAGCTCTCGCAGTGGACGCCTCAAGAAGAGCTGCAGGTGGCCGTTCTCTGGCTCCGTTCCGAAGCGGCCAAGGGACTTGGCCTGGTGGCTCTGAATCTCGGGCAGAGAGAGCAAGGGCACGACAGGCACCGGCAGCCGGTGGTTCACCAAATCGAAGAGTGGGACCAGGGCAGGCTGAGGCTGTGCGAATGAGCTGCCGGGGTAGGTCAGGACGCGAGAGTTCACAAGGGCCCAGACCTTCTTATATGCCCGGAGATTAAACTTACCTGCGATCTCTGGGCAGGTCTGCTGCAAAAGCTCCGAGTACTCCCGCTCAACTCCTCCTCTGGCAATGGCGTACACAAGTGATGCAGTGGTTCCCTCAATCTCCCGAAGTGCCCAGTTTGGCCAAAGCAAAGGAAATCGCTGTTGTTGTCCCTTGCTCCAGTGGTTTAGCAGGTCATCCAAATGCGGCCATTCGGCTCGGCCATCTCCGTCAGAAATGGACAGCAGCAAGACCATCATGCTGAACAGGGCATGAGTCCGGCCCCGGTCCGCCTGGCTTGGGCTCTGGTCGAAGAATCGCCGAATCGCGCCCGCACACGGTGTCGCATTCGTGGCTTGCTCTCCCAAGACCATCGCTTGTAGTGGCACAGAAACAAGCGTCTCAGCTTCATCGACATCAGCCGTAACAAACAAGCCACGCCCCCCGTGACCATCTGCTTTTAGCTTCACTTTCCTGGAAACGAAGCCTCCCAGATCGCGGATCCAGTCTGTCAGACCCCCGGACCCAGCTATGCTTGCGAATCCCCAAACCAAGACTGCAGCGAGGCTCATGTGCACGAAGGCACTTGATCCAAGCCAATCTGGATCAGCTCTCGCCAGCGTGTAGGACACAGTGTGCTCCAGAAGACTCCAGCTCTGCAGCCGGCACTGGAGATGCATCAGCATTTGTGCATGCAAGGACTGCGGACAAGGAAACATCCAAGTGCAACAGCCATTCAAACCGTCACAACATCCCTTGACATGCAATCGAGCGGCATGGCGCCCGAGAACGTCTTTGCCCACGCAAAGAAAGCAGTGGGACCTGAGTCGACCAGTGCTCTTTCGCAAAACTGCAGCATTGCAGCCCATTGCAGCTTGAATTCTCGGGATCATACAGTGGATCTCTCGCGCAAGCCCGACAGCAAGGCAAGGAGCAACCCTGGCGGAAGCAGGAGTCATGGACCACACTTCCCACCGAGGCGGGAGGGCATGGACGCGCCTGAGGAAAGAGAGCAGGAATGAAGGTCTTTTTCCGCCACTCCATGGTGTCTCTCATCGCCTTGAACGCCTCGCAAGCACACAGCAAGCAAACAGCTGCCTCTAACCCTGCCTGCCCGGTGTCTGACAGCGTTGTAGGAGCTAGACTCCGCATACCAGTAGGTCGATTGGCTGTGCTATATCATGCACTGCCTGCCTTGTTGACGTCACCGTCTTGCATGCACAAGTAACCTGCGACATGCTGACTCAACAAACCGCCGCTCACTGTTCTGGTTGGGATCATTCCAATCTTGACATCTTGCAGCAGGCCCTGAATGCTGGCTTGCGGTTTCGAAGAAACTTAGAAATTTCACTTTCAGCATCAGCTGCCAGAAAGTCGGCTGAAGCTGTGCGTGGACAGATCCTTGACACGCCTCCGATGCTTTTGGCCAAGTCGCGCATCAGCGTAGAGGTGGAATAAAACCCCAGTTCTCGTTCTTCCGCAGGGCTGCTTGGAGGACGACCTTGCAGGATCTCCACCTCAAAGAGGCTGCGATATGCTGAGACAGGCAGGCGCATCGATTTCAAGTCACACGGGCCTGCACTCGCTCTCGCAGGGCATCGAGGTTTCCTCTGGCCTGGCATGGCATCCAAGGGCAACTTTTGCCCCAAAGGTGTGCCAGGCTCAGGCTCGTTGCCTTCTGCATGCGTGCCTTGAGGCCAGACACGACCTGAGGAGAAGCCGAGCGAAGCCTCTTGGCTCTGGGACTCAGCGGCTCAGAGCGCTGTGCAATCTGATCCTCCTCGAGTGGAGCCTCGACAGGCCGTGCTTGCGGCCGTGATGTCTCGCCGAAAGACTTGCCCATGCTCCGGCCTTGTCTGGAAGCTCGGGCAGCTGCTGAGCCTTCACAGACCAGGGACTCTCAAGGGGGAAGGGAGCCTGCCTGCATCTCATTTTTGCCCTTCGCCGACGAATTCAACAGTACACATGCACGTCCATCGCTCATATTAAGCTTACCTTTAGCGACTCAAGGTAGGCAGTGCAAAGACTTCAGGGCTTCTGTTCTTGTGCTCCCTCCGTGTCGCACTACGACCTCAGCTTCAAGCTTCGAGAATCTTCTAGACAACGGCATTGTTTTGAATACTACTTTGGCTGCTCTCTGCTGCTCCTCCAGCTCTGGAGAGATCGCAAAATCCAACAACCCCTTTGGTAGATGCGGCCAAACCTTACATACAACACGCTCACCCTGAATATCCACACCCGAATCACCGCGAACACGGTCTGGTCCAGCAGAAGCCTCCTCCCATGGACCCTGATATAGCAAAAGCCATCGGCCTCGAACTCTGCTGAAGCACCTTCCGGGAGTGGCGAGTCCCAACACCAGACACACGGCTCTTGAGCAGAACTCTTGAAATCCGCTGATGTTGATGTTGTGACGCGGGCGTGATGGCTTCAGCCGCGACTGTTGCAAGCCACTCTGAGCTGGCCTTCCGCCAGTGCGGATCCGGTCTTGGAAAAGCCGAAGTCCTGCTCAAGAGCTGCAAGCGCTCTCTTCCCCTCTGCGCTCAAGTCCAAGTCCTCATCGCCCGGAGAGGTTGGTGATGCTCCCCAGCTGGAAGGCGAGGGATCACCGAAGCTAAGGCCACCTTAGTGAAGAACAGAGCAAGGCTAGTGCCAATGCCAATAACTATGCCGGCAAGGAGCAGGTGGTCGTTGGCGTTTTGCCGTCTTCCAACTTTGAAGACGGAAACGTCTTCACATCCTCCACCTGCTCAGCCACTAGGCTACCATATGCTACTATGTTACATCTGTTGGCTTCCCGGTTGTTGCCTCCTCGGCCAGAGCCGCAGTGTCCACGACGAGGACCGTGTCAGCATCGGAGTTTCCGGGGCTGCTGCAACCTCGCAGAACGGCGCGGCGAGTGCAACTCTCAGAACTCTGCCTGAGCCGGGGACAGCCCTTGCTCAGCCCGAAGAACTCGGCAAAGACCTGCAGCACGCGCTTTTCAACTTCGAAAACGAAAACACTCTTGCTGGTGGCTTCTTGCAACCAAGTTTCCCCAGCCATGGCTCAACGTCGTGTCCAGACTTTCAATGTCACCAAAATATACACATAATTTGCTTACTTGGAGTTCTGCACTGCGATGTCTGATCAGGGTCTGCGCGTTTCAAGTCTCTAGAAAGAGATAAGATGCATGATGCATCATGATGCCATGCTTCTTACACCTCATTCTTCTCAACTGCAGATGCACCTCAAACCCATAGTCGAGCCATGTCGATGCAACGCGACACAACGAACCAAGCATCGCCCCGCCCAATGCAAGGAGCAACGCCCGACCCGAAAGACTTCGTCATCCTCATCGTCTCGCAGTGTCCTGACCTCCGAAGTCCTCCCTGAGCAGCAAACCCCAAGCCTAGGACCTAGCGATAAGTGCCTTCGATTCCTGGAGCACCTCTCCTAGCACTGCCCTCAAGATGCAGATCTTCCCATGTCTGCACAGGGCATGGAAGTGCTCTAACCCCTTTTTCTCCGTTGCGGAGGCGTCTTGTAGGATGACCTCGGCAGCAGAAGCTAATGGTTGCTGGGGAGCCCGGGGGGAGCCCTCAGCTGGGACCCTGGGAGTCTGGCCCAGGTTGCTTGATTCGACCAGGAGATGAGACCGTCTCTGAGCGTCCCGACAACATCCCACATAAACACCTGTGTCAGGACTACGGGCACTACCAAAAGCCTGACCTAGGGAAAAAGGAACCTGCGCCAGCCCGATGGTGTGACGGCTGACGGCCGTAACAAGCGAGCCTAAACCCGACAATAAAGACATAGAAGCACGGGAGGGGCGTTGTTCTGTTCTGCTTCTCTCTCGGATTCTTTGCAGTAGCGGCATCGGCTGTGTTGCGTTTTCCTTTTTGAGTTTCCCACGCTTTGCCGAAGTTTTTTAGAACCTTGTTCTCAAGACCGTCTGTCATCTGAAGAACTGTATCCACGAGCTGCATGCTAGGGCCGCCCGAATGCAGTCTGCTTTAGAAGGCACCTGGATGCCATCAGCTTTCGCATCTATGGACCACCGCTGCGCAGCATTCCTGAAACAGCAACCGTTACTTTTAGTTGCGTGCTGCGGCTTGAAAGAGCTGAGGGCAGATCTTCGCTTGGATGTTGCAGTTCGTCTGCGACACCTGCACTTGGCTAGCTGCGGCTTGCACCATGCCGCGGCTTGCCGAGGGGCCTCAACAACCCCACCACCGCTGTCCTGTCATCGTCACCCACCCCATTCAGGCCAATACAGGACCATCCAGTGCACGGAGCCTGGTACAGCCCCTCAAAGTTGGCGCACCCTGCAGAAGCAACATCGTGCAGAAGACAACGGACCGAGCCGACCGAGCTGGGGCGCGGGGCCTTCCTTGGAGGCCTTGGACGGATCGCCCGGCAGCGCTTCTTTGGCCGCCCCAGCCTCGAAGAAGCGTCTTCGCACAGAAACACAAAAAAAACACCGTCGCTCATTCCGTTCGGCAAGGGCCCTCTGCTCGTTTTCAGCCTGCCGGAACGTAGCGAATTTGGCCCAGGGGAGCTGGCATCGCGGCTCTCGTTGAGCTTTTGTAGCATCTGCTCGATCTTGTATGCGGGTTGGCCGGCAAATATTCAAAACCGTTATCAGGCAAAGTTGCTGGCGACATCAGGTTCGAACGTGTAATCGAGTGCCTACTCAAGCCCTGTCGTGGAAGTTACCTGTACTGAGTCGCAACTTTGCAAGTTCACAAACCTCGAACTTCCAGAAGACTCGGCCTTCGTTGCAATATCTGTTCGAGTATGCGTATACCATAACCATAGCGTCTATCATAGCCAGTGAGACCATTAAGGTCTCCAGACGTTCCTGCTGAAAGCTCAGCAAACGATCTACCAGACATGTGCTTGAAGATCGCGGAAAACACACCTCCTGCCTGTCTATCAAGCAGAAGAGGACAGCCACCCCCTCGCCCGGAATGGGGTGCTGGCCTGCGAAAGCTCCTGAGATCTTTTGCCTCGGAAGCTGTCCGTCTGCGCTCCTTCATATCCTTCGGCTCTTTCACTCCTCTGCTTCTGACTCTTCCACCAGCGACTTTTCGGAACAACCCCAACAGCCACGCGTAAACTTCCAAGTCTGGGGAGGCATGAACTTGCAGAACTTGGCGCAGCGATGGCTATGGCGTCGACCGTAGTATTTACCATAGTACTTGCCGTAGTAGTATGGCTTCTTCGTCGTCACTCCAGTGACTGTTGTAGTCGGCGCCGCTGTCGTTGTGACATCAGGAAACGTTGCCGTTGTTCCCGTTGACGTTGTGGTGGAGGTTGTTTCCTCAGGAGTAGTGGTTGTCGTAGGTGCTGCGGTGGTCGTTGTTGTAGGCGCCAGTGTCGTTGTTGTAGTCGGGGCCGCTGTGGTGGTTGTTGTTTCCTCAGGAGTCGTGGTTGTCGTAGGTGCTACGGTGGTCGTTGTTGTAGGGGCCAATGTCGTTGTTGTAGTCGGCGCCGCTGTGGTGGTTGTTGTTTCCTCAGGAGTCGTGGTTGTCGTAGGTGCTGCGGTGGTCGTTGTTGTAGGCGCCAGTGTCGTTGTTGTAGTCAGCGCCGCTGTGGTGGTTGTTGTTTCCTCAGGAGTCGTGGTTGTCGTAGGTGCTACGGTGGTCGTTGTTGTAGGGGCCAATGTCGTTGTTGTAGTCCGCGCCGCTGTGGTGGTTGCTGGAACATCAGGAATCGTTGCCGTTGTTCCCGTTGACGTTGTGGTGGAGGTTGTTTCCTCAGGAGTAGTGGTTGTCGTAGGTGCTGCGGTGGTAGTTGTTGTAGGGGCCAGTGTCGTTGTTGTAGTCGGCGCCGCTGTGGTGGTTGTCGTAGGTGCGATAGTCGTCGTTGTAGTCGTCGATGCAGCGCTCTCACAACATGCCCATGTTAGGGCGAAATTGCTGATGGCTCTCAAGTTGCCATTTTTCTGCACGACTGTGGCCACGACGCAGAAGTCGCCACTCCCCGTGTAGTTTGTGCAGACGGTGTTGTTGGGGTCCACGTTTGGTGCCGAGCAGTTCTCAATACCATCGTAAGTAACAGAGTATACCGCCATTTCCGGACTTGATACAGACCTGTGAGGGGCAGACTCCCGTCGGGACTGGGAAGCAGACTTCGAGCGGATCGTTTACCGTGTCAACTTTGGCTGTGGTGCCGTTGGCCGTGCCGGGACAAGGATTGCTGCCTGAATTGAACCAGCATTTCGAAAAATTGGCTGAGTCCTCAATCTCTGCTTGGGTGCATGTTGCACCACTTGGGACCTTGCAGATCTTTGGGTCGATGAACTCTGCGTCACATGTCTCGTTGGGTGGATTCGGGGCCGGAGTATCATCGTTGTTGTTGTTGTTATTGTTGTTAGCATTGCTGCCACCAGCGTTGCTGTTATCAGGAGGGTCAAACAGGCCGGCACCAAGAGCACCGAGAGATCTGCTCATCTCCAACTGGAAAAGTTCTGAAGCATCGCCCTCACTCGCGCGGACACCGGCGCCATCTGAGACTGTGCTGCAGTGTCCAGCTGCCGATGCTTCCATGATGAGCTGGGGCCAAGCCATGAACCACAGGAGCTGCATCATTGGCGGCACTGGCTTACCGCTTTGGGCGGAATTCGGAGCTACTGCACGAGGGAAGAGCTGCTTGAGTTGATGAATGTTTGGCATGTGCTGGCTGCCATCCACAATGAGAAGCAGAAGAGAAACCAATGGCATGACGACGATGACGACTGCGGCTACCAGACATGACACTATACCACATGCATCCAAAAATGTCGGTAAAAAACACTGCACTGGTGCGCTTCGAGTCTTCGATGGCCTTCGAGGGCCAGGCCCAAGGCCGGGCTGCTTGCGGCTTTGCGCGGACGTCGGCTCCTAGCCGCGGAAGGAAGGAGATTTCATCTTTAACATACAGGGGCGCATGAAGGTGTCTCTTTAGTTGCGTATTCACTTGCTTACCGAATTACTTGGGTTTTACAGGTTGCTTCATTCCGGCGCAGTCGTTCCTGCTGCAGTACTGGGCAAGTTGAAACTCTGAAGACGCAAAGGTGTCTGGTAGTGTCGGTTCGTGGTTAGCAGCTAGCATCTACAGAATGTCATAGCAAGATAGTCTTGCATCCCTCGCTGATCCGTGCACTGCCTACTTCTCTTCCCCTCCCTAGAGAGTCGCGGCTCCATAGTATTCACCGGAACTCTGGTGGTGGAAGAACGGAGAAAGGCCAGGGACCAACTCCCCAACCTCGGGCAGCAGGAAAGCGCTCTCTGGCTCCGGCTTCCGTTGGAAAAGGCTCCCGGGAACACCGCCATGCTTGCACAGCACATCTCGTAAGAAAAAATCGCTGGATGGGGCGGCGTGGCCTGTGACGCTACGGACAGGATGCCACCCGGAAAAGCATGCAAACTGCCTGCGCCTGCGCACCGACCAATCGCAGAATCGCTTCGCCGTCCCCTCACTCAACCAATTGGCTGAAGCCAAATGTATTATTGCCTCCCTCGCTGAGTGGATTTTCTCAAATCAGCCAGCACACGCGAGGTGTCTAGGATGCGCTGCAGCACGTCCTTTGAGCACACAGGCAACACGGCACAACGCTGCTACACACCATCCCGGATGCCGTCTGAGTCTGGAGCCTCTGGCAAGGAATATCCAAGCCCACCACTCTTCAATCTGCTTCCCTCGCACACGATGACACACAACATGTCGCTCCCTCTCACAGCTGCTCCCACAGCTGCTCTTTGCAGACAGCACTGGCTTGGAGAAGGTTACAAGCCTAAGAAAGGGATACTGACACGAACCCGCTGGTAAGATCACCTGAGGTTCGGGCTGCGACGGGCCTGTTCAGCCGAGCGAAATCGTGGTTCGAACCAGAGCCAACCCGGTCTTTCTTTCCGATCTTCCACACTCGTGGGCAGACTGCCCGGTCTCAAGGTCAGTGAGTGCGACTCTAAGTCTCACTTTATTTCTTTGTTTCACCAGGGCTGGGGTGGGGGGTCGCCCTCAGCGCGCTGTCTAAGTCTCTCGCTGTCTCTCTGTCTTTCTCTCAGTGCAGCACAATCGCCCCCTCGCGCGAACGCGCAGCTGCCAGTCCACAGGGTTTTGAACATGCTTCGAGGGAATCCCTCCGAGGAGGCTCTGTCTGCGTGTCTCCATCTCTTGCTTGCTTGCTTCCTTGCTTGCAGAGCGTGGGGGGCAATTGGGAGATCCCCCCAAAACCCATGCACACAGCGCTACGCCTGTGCTCGTGTCCGGTCTGTGTGTCTTGCTTGCTTGCTTGCGTGGCATAGCGGGACTGGGAGCCAACTCCCCCCAGAACCCACGCGCACAGCGCTACGCCTGTGTCTGTGTGTGGGTGTGTGTCTCTTGCTTGCAATCGGACAAAGGAGCGTGCAAGCACCCCTCGCACCCGCAGGCGCACCGGTCTCCTGTGTGTGTGTGTGTCTCTCTCCCTCTCTCTCTCTCTCTCTCTCTCTCTCTCTCTCTCTCTCTCTCTCTCTCTCGCATCAATGCTGCGTGATCTCGCTGCCTGCCCCGTCGCCAGCAGTCCAGGTCACCAAGAGGCCCGAACCGTTCGACGTTGCAACAGCGCCTCGGTAATCAGCGGACGGGCGGCGGACGGAGAGCCTCCGGTCCACGGCAAAGCTCAGTCCCAGCTCGCAGGTGTAGGTGGCATCGAAGCACTGCCTCGACAGCAGCAGAACCGCAGAAACGAGGCGAATTTCCAGCCCCTGCCTTATTGAAGCTGCTGGGCACCTGCCACCAGCGACCCGAACCTAGCCCCGAAAGCTTCGCCGTCAGCTCAGGCCCACGCCGACGAGGATTCGCCCCCTGGAAGGGAACATACCTGGGCCGCCACTCTGGCAAAGGGTCTCTTTACGGCTTGGCTCACGCAGCCAAGGAGCAGCATTGGGCACCAACGGCAAACACCGTCTTGCTTTGGCCAAAGCGCGAGGCTTTCTGCTGTATCTCAGCTAGGTCTTGAAGCACCACTACAATGCTACAGCTCTACAACACCGCAGCAGAGGTACTGTGGTAGCCAGTGTCAACATAAACCTGCACCGACAACATCCATCAACAAGCAAGTGTCCTGCAATAGTTTGCACCGCCTCCGTTCCACACGGCTCCAGCAGCCATGGCAGAATCACGTCGAAAGTCCGAAACCTGCAAACTGCCAATGCACTTGGAGCCTTCTCGGTCGGTGCACCCACACACTGCCCTCGTCGCTGTCAGTGCTACGGATTTCACACTCGACGATGCAAGCAAGCGCACATGCCCCTGTGCAGCCTATTCAGCTTCGGTCGAGACATTGCATGAGCCTTGTGGCCAGGAGAATTCAACTGAAAGCAAGACTTCCCTTTGGCCACCGAGGTCCTAGCCTCCAGGTACCTGCCGTGGACCGTGGAGCCACCACTTTGACATTTGCAAACAACTTCAAGCTCTGCGTGGCGCACAGCCGGCGAAGTTTGCACAGCCAACCGGAAAGCATCAAGTGCCTGCAGGAGCAAGAACTTCTCGGCGGGACCCATGGGAGACGACCCGGCGGACGATGCGAGACGGCATTCGAGACATGGTCGGACCCGCCCACTTTGACCCTGGACTCGTGTAGTGCACAGCAAACTACCGACCGAACGAGAAATCAAATCGGCTGGGCTGGAAGCGGACTCCAAGAAGCTCCATCTTATGGCTCGGACTGAAATTGCCTCCTGCCTGAAACATCTTAGACTTATGCAACCGCTATCCTTGCAAACTTTGTGACACTGTGCTTGTGCATCTGTCCCCACGTGTGCATGCACCGAATGGAGGAACGTGCCTCCAAAAGTAAGTTGATTTCTTGCTCCGGGTTAAGGTACATGTATATTAATATTCCTAAACTGCGGCAGTTTCTCTGAGAACACAGCAACACCCATGCAACTCCCTGCTACAGAGCTTCTTGCAAGACTGTGGGACCCATGATCAGCCATTCTGCGTCAATGCATTCATCTGCGGCACTATCTATCTGTATCGCTGAGTAAACGGAGTACGTGCGTTGCTGACTACGCCATGCGGTAGCTCGAACCTGGCTCTTTACCACAGCCACGTAGAAGTGACCACGCGTAGCTTTATCTTACCTTTGATTAGTAGGGAACGGAGGAATGGGGTATAATTATAACCACTATTTCTACCATTCCTCCATTCTCTACTAACTAAAGGTAAGTTAGCAGGAGGAGTGTGGCGCCAAGCCCCGCCTGAGGAGCTCGTACTCGGAACCCTCGCAGTCCATCCGCATGACCTCGGACACAACGTGACAGCTTCCCGGAAGCTGAAGTCGCTGGGGGCGACTCTGAGGCCGCCACAACCTCGTCATGTTCGCGAATATTCTCGCCTGGGCTTGCAGACTTGCAGAGTCGGGTGGTGGTGAGGTAAGGCATTGCCGATGAGAGCACGAGGCACCGACGGAAGACCCGTGCTATGTCCACAGTGGTGGCATTTATTGACCTCGCCAAGGGCACGCATGAAAGGCGCGCGGATCGGATTCTCGGCCAGCGAGCCGTAATCCTCCACATATCATGTCCTCTCTACATGGGCAACTCGTTGTTTTCCTCTTCCGGGCACTCCACGCAGCGCAGCTGTTCGATAAGGGCCTGGGAATGGGAACCCGTCCACGCTGAAGGCCGCACTCTCTGCACACTCAACCATGGAGATTCCGCGAGCCTCAAGCGCGACCTCATATCGCCCAGCGTCGTGGTCGTTCATTAACCCGTCCGCAAGCAGTGCCTCCCGGCCAAAGTCTTCGGAAGGCACCGCAGGCAGCACACCTTATGGCCGCAAAGAGACGTTCGCAACAACGCGCTTGGACCAAAAGACCTGGTTGAAGTTTAGCCTCCGAGCTTACATCTGGCATTTAAATGCACGCCAGAAGCACTACGCAGCCAAACCATCCCAAACCCTAAGCCTTTTTTTGCTCCACCCCTAAAGGCCCGAAACCCCCAAACCATCCCAAACCCACCGGAAAAGCCCCCTCCCCTGAGGACCCCCCTAAAGATCCATTCAAAAGGATTCCTTAAAGGAGCCCTTATAGATAGCCTTTAAAAGGGAACCCGGGAACCCTCAAAGGGACCCCTCCCATCGCCAGGCCACGGATGCAGCGCTGCCGCGCGGCGCGGACGGCGGCCGCCAGGTCGGCGAGCCAGGCGTCGCGCTCGGCTGCCTGGGCCCGGTCCGAACTCTTGAGTCCTAGAGATACTAGTACAGTGAAGATGCCTAAAGATACCAAAGGAAGGAAGATGCCCAAATCCTTATACTATAAACACCCTTCAAAATCTAAAAGAGGCTTGAAACTCTAAACTCAGGAGCGGAACTTACATTTGTGTGTGTAGATCTGCATAAACACATGCTTGCTGAACGTGTTTGCTGCTCTGTCCTTTGGTGTGGGTTCATACATGCGTATCATGCAGGCTTAGGATTTTAGGTTTAGGATTCAGGGTCAGGTCACGTCCGGAAAAGAAGCGAATTTCAAACAATTACAGTTGTTTCGCGAAAGCGTGGAAAAACGGCACCACCGCGCCGAAGGTGTCCTGCTTGAAGGGGCCTGGTATAAAAATTCGTTAACTCAGAGAAGCTGAGACAAATGCTGGAATCTTTCTTAGTAGGACCCTTGCATAAGCTCCTCCGACTTGTTTAGAAACCCGCCTATCTGCAGCCGACTCCAAAATCTGAACCTTGCGATTTGTAGGGTTCAGGATTCAGGGGTTCAGAATTTATCCTTTGGGGTTGCGCTTCATTGGGTTTCTGGTCGAGCGGTTGACTACCAGTGCGGACTTTGCAGGATTTATGATACTTAATTTTGGAGTTTAGGGGCCTAGGGTTTGCGGTTCAGGGATTTAGGGGTTTAGGGTTCCAGGTTTAGGGCTTGAGTTGTTAAGGAGGTTCGGGTTTCGCGTTTCAGCGTCTGGAGTTTGCGGTCAAGTGCTGTCCTCGAGCAAATGCCCGAATTGCTAACTGAATGATTTGGGGTAGTAGTCGGTGTAGGCGGCGGTGCTAGCGGCGATCTTTCCTGCCAAACATATTCTTCCGCCCCCCGAAGACTCTCCGGTATCCTGGAAATTAGCTGTTTGCACTAGTAAATACCGGTCGTGTAGCGATCAGATGAGCAAAGGAATTTCTCTGTTATAGCTTAGAACTCGAGAGCCTGCTTCATCAGATGCGAGAGAGGTGCGCTTTCTGTACAAAGGAAGACCTCCGCTGCCAGACAATTCCGGACAGCAGGCAAAGCCTGCCTTTGTCCGGTACTTGGCTGCAGCTCTATGCCTGCACACGATCTCGGTCAAAACAGTTGCGCTTCTTAGAATTCCCAAAGGCCCAGGTGGCCTGACCAGGTGCTTGCAGTCTGCACACGGAAAGCCCACGGCGTTGCGAAATCGCGAGCAGCTGGCATCGTCGACTCCGTGTTAGTTCCTGCTGGCTGCGATTCAAGAGGTCAAAGCAAGCCTCGCAAGTTCAAGCGTCGTCCTGAATTGGGAGCACTGGGCTCGCTGGCACGGAAGGACATCGTCGGCCCCATGCCAACGGGGAACGGGAGACTACTTGGCTGTCCTTAGTCCGCATACTGTGCACAGAGACGTTCAAGAACGCTGAGCTTCGCTGTTCGGCCTAGCTGTGTGGGGTATAATAATCTCGCCGGCATCGCGGTGAAAGCTTCGAAAACAACGGTGGTGTTGAAAGGGGAGGGGCCCTGAAATCAGCCCGGCCAAGGTTCCGAGCAGCATGATCAACGTGCTGTCGGCCGTCAGGGGTACACTTGATCGCAGCGGATCCTGCACACCCTGTCACTTCCAGACAGATGGGCTTCGTGAGAACATGAGGCTCAGCTGAGGGCATATGCATGCGTATGGGGTCCTTTGGAGACACTGCGAAGCACAACTCGCCAGCCTCACGTGCACACTAAGGCTGATCCAGAATCCGGTCACGTCTGCGATCTACAGGCCTCAATCCATGCAAAGCGCCGCCGCCACTGCCGCAGATGATCTGAGCGCTTCAGCACCCAGCGGCCGTGGGCTCTGTGGTCTCGGTTCAGGGAGCGATGATATGAAAACAGTAGTGACAGTAGTGGATCCCGCCGGACTCCTGGCCTACTGCATCTTCTCCGCCTCTGCATGCGGCAGAGTTCAACCTCACCGTGGTGCACAGCTTGCTGCAAAACGCCCAGCACGCACCTGTGCTCTTTTCTGGGCCGACGACTGTCCAGAAGAAGAAAAGCTGGCAGTCCCGCCTGCCAAGCTCCCAGCAGTCTCAGCTTGCAGGACTCTGCCAGTTCTCGCCTGGTACCAGCAGGACGCGGCACAGCCGGGAGGTGACCGCATGCTGGACCGGGAACGGATTGCCTGTTGCAGGCCTCGTCGATGCTCCCTTGCACAAGGCATCTTCGAGCTCGCGAGCCACAGCCACCTGACATTATATATATATATATATATATATATATATATGTATATATATATATATATATATATGTTATATATATATATATATACATATATATATACATATATATATACATATATATATATGTATAGATATAGATATTTCCTATATAAGCTTATCGGTTGTGAGACATGCGAAGCCGTGGCTTTGACAAGGACAATCTGTCGGCACGCCTGCGTTTCTGCATCCGCTTGGCCCAACTTGCGAAGCACATCCCTCTTTCCCCAGTCAACGAAGTCGTCGATGGCCCTCGCTTCCTGGAAAAGCTTGTAGCCATTATGCAAAGATGTCCTTGGAATGATGTCGTAGTTCACGGCGAAGGCCTGAGCTACAAGTGCCTTACACGGCTCGCAGGTGGTCCCTCCTCGTCGCCCAGAGCCGAGCTGCGAGAGAGGAATCCCTGGCCCTCTGCACCGCAGAAGGAACCGCAGGGCGAAAGCCGAAACTCCAGAGCCGAGAGAAGCTGCTGGCCCGCTGCACGGGCCTTTGAACAACGCAGACTCGCAGTCGCCTCCTCGCACCGTCAACATCCCTCGACTGCCGTCTACAACAAGCAAAGCGGCTCGCTCCCGAAGACGGGAGGAGGCGCAAAGAGGAAGACCTTCAGCTCGGTGCCTTTTGGTAGCGTCCAGGCTGCATCCTCACCACCAAGCATGAGGATCGCCAAGAGCTCGCAAACCTCAGGGCACTATGTGCTCAGCTACATTTCCGCCACGGAGTTTACAGTAGTCAACCAATCCAACCACAACCACACTCCACTAAAATCACTACAACTCCCCAAGCCCAAGCTACTCCGGCACCAAGGGAGTGGCCACAGAGGACCAGGCGCTTCTTGGACTTAGATGGGCTGCTTCCGCTGCTTCCGGCCAGTTCGTCCAGGCGGCTGAGGCCTTGAACAGTTTCAAAAGAGGGTCGATGGCACCACGTAAAGAATCTCAAAGACCCCGAAGAATCTGAGTGAACCGAACAGGATGGCCTTCCTGGAGGTGTGGATGCAAGCGGTCCAGGAGTCTGCGAGCGGTCTGCAGGATGCCCGAATGGGCTTTGCCGCCTGCAAAGCCGCCCCTACAGATTCGTGCCCGGCTCTCCAATGTGCATCCGAGTAGAAGAAATGCTTAAAGCCTTAAGGCTTCGTTCGGACGCGTTCTTACAGTAGTCCACGTCGTGCAGGAGTTCTCAGGTTCTTCCTTTCTGTCCTTGGTACGTATTGCTTTTGCTACACGTTTATGCTCCCAGTTGTTGCATCTTTACTTTCTGCTTCCGTGCTCAAGCAACTCAGCAACTCTGGTGCCTGCAAAGTCTTCCGCATCGCCCACCAGATCGGCAAAAAGATCCGAGAGTGACTGCGTCCCTCTGACAGAGACGACCAGCTCTCGGCGTTGGACATCCTCCGCGAGCAAAAATCGCGGGCACAACGGGTCACTAGCCTGTGCTGCATCATCCATGTCTGATACGAGAATGGCATCAGGTTCACACTCGGCCACAGCAGCAGCCATGGCCACCCGTTCCTCTTCGTTGGGCTGGCTCGAACTCGGAGGCTCTACCATCTTGCTCGTACCCTCAGAGTCGATCTTCTCGGTCCCGTCACGGAGCCCCCGTCCGCCGTATACCGCAAGAGCCCAGCGACAGTAACGCAAAGCCTCTAAAGCTTCGGAGTAGGAAAGCGAAACAGAGCCACCGGGGTAACCTGACAAGCCATCCACGATGCGCCAGGCGCCGAGGTGGCGATGGTAGACTCGAAGAAGGGCCAGATTGAGGGCCACATGCCGGCGCCACGGTGGGGAGCCATCGAGGCATCCGTCAACAGCGACTTGCCAAAAGTGAGCATTGCAAGCCACCACCCGTTCGAAGACATCCTGCTGCTCTCTGGTGAGTGCCAGATCCTTCAAGGCCTGGTGTAGAAGCTCCGCAGTACCGAAAGGATCCAGTCGCACAGGCGCGGCACCTGTCACCGATCGTCGAAACAAGCGCCAAGTGGCACGAATTGGCCCTGCGGATCGCGAACCGCCTGCGAGACGCTGCAGCGTCCCGAGAACCCACTGCCTCAAGCCTGCTTCTGCAGCTTCTGTGCGTCTGGTTTGCGCTCCAGCTGTGGATGGCTGCAAATCTGACATTGCCGCTTCCCATGCATGGATTGTTTCGCTTCCCCAAGGTTGCGTTCAAGTCTTCAAATGTCAGGGCAACTTTGCTTCGTGTCAGGCATCATGGCAACCCCCTCGTCTGTTTGCTGTCTGCTGCAAACTTGAGTAGCGTGCGGCTATAACGCAGGCACCAAACTAACAGCAAGTACTGCAAAAAAAGAAGAAACGTAAACGACGCCATGCATGCCAGGCCTAATGTGTGCGCATGACAATGCAGTTCTGGCAGCTACGACAGCTACGAACAAGCTCAGTCGGACGCGTGTCATGCAAGCCGCGGGTGCGGAAGATGCTGTCCAAACCAGTCCCATACAGTGGGTTGGAGGCCACGTTGAGCCTGACACGAATCGCTCAATGCAGCCCCTGCTGAAGACTTTGCTGAGTGTCCCTGCTACCTCTTCTTCAGTCCGTCTGCCGTCCAGGCCTGACCACGACTCTCTCGGACAGATACTTTCGCAGCGACTGGCAATGCTGGCAAGGTGCCACGTTCGGATAAAAGACACCGTTCATCTCCTGTCAACCGCGGGGTTGACAGACAATGCACACCCAGAAAGAGGGCTGCACACGGATCCTCTGCCATTTGCTGAAGAGGTTGCGCCCAAACAGGGTGAGGCTGAACCATCCTCCAAAAGAAATTCGAGCGTGGAAGCAGAAAAATGCTGCAAGTAGACCAAATGCGCAATTCAATTCAAACCGCAGTGCAAACTGAGACGCGCACACAGGCACATACTGAATGCCAAACTGTTCCCATTGTGCACGTAGCCACGGCCTGGCAGCTTAGCTCTTCCTTGCTCACTGTCTGAGCTGCTGAACAGCGTGTACAACGCAAAACTCAGTGGAATCCGTGAGCAGAGTGCGGTGCAAAAACCACAAAAGGCCGTGGCTGGTCGGTCGTAGTTGCCCCGACCTGGCAAGATGAGATGCCCTGGCTCGAATGAAAGTGCAAGGCCGCCAGAGAGCATGCATGCACATGATGCAGCCGAGTGGCCACGACGAAGACGTGACCTTGCCAAAACCCATGACATCATGCATGATGGGAAGCGTCCGCACTGTCACGCAGTTGAGTTCTCCAGATTGTAACAGTGCAACCCGAGGTGCGGCTTTCGAGGTTTTGTTGAAGCTCGACTTGGGCATTGGCCTCAGCGAACATGTCGTAATGCTGACGTGTAGCCAGGTATCAGCATAAATGTGCACAATGCGCTCAGCCAGACTGTGAGCGAGATGTTCTCGGGTTCCGAGTTTGCCCTCGCACACCAGAAACTCCGAAGAGCTTCAAGCTTCCGCCGTCTGTCAAACCATGTTGCATACTGCCTGCGTTTCAACATTTGCCAGGCCCATGTTCCTACTGCGGTGTCTAACGTCTCTGCTGGGGTCAGTACCAACACGATGTGGACAGCCAGACGGAACACTCGCCAAGACCACTCCATCTTCTCCTCACACCACATCACAGACATGACAGTACTTTGCATGATGCATCATCAAACTGCAATAGGGTTGGCAACGGTTGTGCACGGACGACTGCAGCCTGGATGCAGCCAAAACCTCATTAGCTCGATCGGAATTGTGCTTTCGGGCAAAGCAATCCGTCACATTCCGTCGATGTCAACGCATACTCTACTTAAGCTTTCCCTCAATCTCCATGCAATTCTACTTCTGCTACTGCTCATACCGCGTAGTGCTGCTGTGATTGCAGTACTTGTACTGTCTGTTGTTGCTCAGTCTCCTGCTCGCTTCTGCACTTCCGGCTGCTGCTTCTCACACACTTCAACCAAACTGCAGTAAAAAGATCACATGCCGAGCCGCTTTCAGGTTGTGCAAGCATGAACAACACCACCCCTCGTGGACGCCATGCTCCGGTTTTGTGAATGAACACGCCTTTTGAACAGGATCCATGCTGCAGTGTTGGGTTTGAAGTTTGCTCTTCACACGCGGACACACCTTTCCTCTCATTGACATTGTATAACGCAGACCAGGACCCGCAGGGACCTGGATCGGGCGGCCAATCTGCAGCAGCTACCTTTGTGAAGACAGCTGCTGGTGTCTCCAAAATTTCTTATGCGTGCAGATCGGATCGCTAAGCCTTCAAATGACCGGGTCCTCTTCTTTTGTTGGAAGCTTTTCCTCGGTGGGGCTGATTTTACGGCGTAGAAGCTAACTGTATTGATTATGGTAAACCCAGGCATTTGCCAGACGAAATGGGGTGAAGCACATGCAGAGTCCATTCCAAAAAACAATGGGGCCCATGGCACTTGCGAAGGAACCAAACATCAACTGCAACTCAACACAAACACAGAGTTTTCACAGGTCTTCGCAAGTCTGACTAAGTTGACCCACTACAAACAATAAAGTAAGTCTGGTTTCCAACACGAAAACTAACGCGAAATGTATCTCAATGCCACGATGGCTTTAAAATCAGCTTCTTTACGTGGACACATCAACAAGTCGTGAACAAATCAACACGTTGATCTTTCCCTGTGCCTGTTGGTCATTGCTGTCATGACAACAAGTGGCTTCGCCAAAAGCCATGGTGTCTTGAATCTTTAATATACAAGCTTTGGATACCGCGGCAACTTCCACATCTGTGGGCTACACACAGTCCAGGCTCAAAATGCCTGTTGCTCTGTTCTGGTCGGTCCCGTGGCCGCACACTTTTACCAGGTTTGTGTTTGGCGCGGGGGTTCTGACATGTGCTGCAACGGAAACTGCCAAACACTGGCATTTTGGACGGGATTGGTCCAGTGGGTAGCTTCTTGCAAAAAGATGCCCATAATCAATTTTGCAGTGCAGAATTGGAGCAAACAATTTGAACTCTTTGGGTCGCAAGCTGAAGTCGGGTGGAACCTCAAGAAAGCAAGTTAAAAGAAACTGAATGCAGCGGTCTACCTCGTTGATCTTTAAAAACTCAAATGGACGAATCCATTTCCGCACGAACATGCGGCGTGCTTGCACAGTTCTCATGCGTTCATAATTAAAAATCGGCCATGGGGTGCCTGTGGTTGCTGGACAAATAATGAAGCACCATAATTTGAAGTTTGGAGCGGCTTGCCAATTTCGACAATTCTGAGATGTGGATCGGCTGAGGTGGCGACCAGCCAAATGAAGCGGTTTTGCGGGTCAGACACTGCCGGACAAAGGGCCAAGGGCCCTCCACAGCTGGAGTGCTTTGTTAAGATGTTGCGAAGCTGCCGTATTTGAGTTACAGTGGCAAACAACGGTGCTTAAGCAGCACAAGCCCAATGACCAGGGTAGCAACGGAGCGTTTTGATTGATTTCAACAGACGCGGTCACTCGTGACACTGGTCGCCGCATGTCGCACGTCTCCCTCGCAGAATTCCGCAGTTTTTGAGCTCGGGTTGGTCCCCATTTTAAGGCCAAAAATTGGTTCCCAAAGCTGAGACCGCTTGATTGGAAACTATCAGGGGAGACCCCATTTTGGGCTTCGTTTTTGGAGCTCGAAAATAGGCGCCATTCGTTGGACAAAGACGCTCCCAATTGGATTGGAATTTTGCTCGAAAAACAACCTTGTACCTTTGCGCGGGGTCTGTGCGTGGTCAGCTTGAGACTGTTGACCATCATGACAACTAATTACTTGTCATAAATACCACAGCATGGTAAGAAAGGCGGCAACTGACTGTTACAGTGGCAAGCAGCACAAGTCCAATGACCAGGGTAGCAACGGAGCGTTTTTGATTGATTTCAACAGACAGAATTCCGCAGTTTTTGAGCTCGGGTTGGTCTGATTGGAAACTATTAGGGGTTGGAGCTCGAAAATGGGCTCCAGAATGGATCGAAAACCTCAAAAACCTTGTACTATGCGCGGGGTCTGTGCGTGGTCAGCTTGAAACTGTTGACCATGTGTCGTGATAACTTATTACTTGTCAACCAAGCCGGCAACTGACAGTCACAGTGGCAAACAACGGGCAGCAGCACAAGTCCAATGACTAGGGTAGCAACGGATCGTTTTGTTTGATTTCAAAAAACGCCGTCGCTCGCGACACTGGTCGTCGCATGTTGGACAAAACTTTTGGTAAAGCTTCAAACTCCGGTGTAGACACACTCGATCGCATGAAGTATTTCAGCTCTTGTCAAGTCGACATCCACAGCTTCGAACGTCCGTCTCTCTCGCAGGAATTTCGCAGTTTTTGAGCTTAGAGTTGGTCTCCATTTGGCAAAAATTGGTTTCAAAAGATGACCCTGATTAGAAACTTAGAGGAGACGCTGCTCGCGACACTGATCGCCGCATTTTTTTTTTGAGCTCGAATTGGTCTCCATCAAAGCTGAGACCGATTAGAAACTATTTCCGGAAGCCCTGTTTGGGAGTTTGAAAAATGGGCTCTAGAATGGATCGAATCTTGGACAATGATAGGTAGCATGTGCAAAAAATTGTGTGACAAGTAATTAGTTATTCAACAGTATCTAGCCATTACGGACACTATTTGGGCAGGTAGCTGGGCGGCATGATCTGGAGAACCAAGGTTAAAAGGCCTGCAGAAGCACAAAAAACACTGGAAGTGCGCACGAAGAATTGGAATTTGGTGTTTTAGGAGGCATTAAGACGTGGCAAGCAAGGGCAACTGACTGTGGAGGTTCTTTCTAAAGCGTTCCAGTTTTCGTGGTTTTTCGAACACTAAAAAAAAAAAGTTTTGCGCAATAGTACAAATTTTGAATTGTTTGTCCACAAATCTTGAAACCTTTCAAACCCTCCGCTTCTCCAAAAATGTTTACGCCCAACAAGCATTGCGGCACATGACGGCACATTAAATCGATGGAGCGGACTTGAAAGGCCGCGAAACTTGCACTTGAAAAGCTTTTCTTCAAGTCACGACCGAGAGCAAACAAAATTGGCACAAAATGGATAATTTTTGACAAAAACACTGCAAGCATGCAACATGCGCAAATTCAAGCCTGCAATTGCGAAACACACAACTTGCACAATTACAAACTAGAGATCTGTTCAATCATACCTACAGATCTGTGCCATGTTTTTGGGTTTGAACCAACCGGCAGGCTCCGAAGTCATCATCACATGTGAGCAACGGCCTCTCGACAACCCTTGCACGGCGCGCCACAACCCTTGACCTCTTAACAACAAAGGGGCTGGCTCACTCGGCCTCACCATTTGGCGGATAAAACCTTGTGAAAGCTCCAAACATTGTGGACTCACATCTGGTTTTCCAGTTCTCGATTGCCTTGGAAATAATGCCTGACACTGGATATGTCCAATTGCTGGAGCGGCCGCCGTGGAGTGCCTTCCACAGGCCCGCTTTGAGCTGCTTTTTTTTTCGACCCCGAAATATTTTTTTTCGCCGTCATGTCTTTTCCAACCTCTATTTTTTCTTCTGCCCTGCGACGGGTCTTAGAAAAGACCTCTCTCGGCCGCGAAATGCATCGTAACTGACCCCGTGTCTGTTTTCGGACTCCAGTGGATCTTTTTCTGGGCCTCTAATGTTTTTTTCTGACCTCAGTAGAAGCACACACACATGTTCAAACATAAAAAATCCCAATATGAACTTTGCAACGCACCGCACAAAAACTGACTTAACCATACTTCTTACACACACACAAAAAAAAGAAGAAAAAACACGAAATCGCTTTAGGGGCGGAAAGCGAACGAAAATCAAACTGTGTGTCGAAAAAATATCAATCAAACGTTTTCCAACACGAAGGAAGGGTCAAGAGCGGGGCCAAAAACGGTCCAGAATTCGGACCCGTTTTTGGAGCCATCTAAAGATGCCGCAGGTTCAGAAAACGTCCCCATTTTGGGGGCCGCATTTGTTCGCAGGGAACCACTTTCGAGCTCGTTGTCGGAATCGCAAAACTGGACGTGGATCAAGGAATACCGATGTTACCAGTTGGTCAGCAAGAAGCAGCTGGATAACTCCAAAATGTAGCACCCAGTCACTGCTTGTCTTTAACACTTCGGTTCAAAAAATCAACTTGCGGCATGTGTTCTTGCCAAGTGCAGGATTTGCTGCAGGATGCTGCAGCAACAGTGCCGGGAGATCTTCTTTGGTTTGTTGATTTTCATAGCTCAGCTGCACCATATCGGTGCTGTCGTTGCTTCAAAATCTGCAGCAGATCAAGATGCTCAAGCTGTAGTCGCTGTTGTGGCTGCTTAAAACAGAGGAGAAGTTGTGACTTTCACAACAC